ATTACATAAGCTTTGATACCAGTCTATCGTTCGTGTGGATCTTGATTGGTGCTGGGCATTGTGGTGACAGCCACCGACCAGGGTTGCGTCGTGCTGACGGCTTAATGCAACCGAGCGGAGATTAGTTGCACTCCTCGACGCCCGGTATATTGAGGAGCCACGCCCCTTCATTTTTTGTTTGACAGCCCCTTCATCTGACAGTAATACACACAGCCTTCGTCGCAATGACCTCCAGTCGTGATGCCAAGCATAAAACGCATTTCGACTCCAAGCAAAAGCTACGACCCATCTTCACGTCACTGAATGGTGACAACTCATGGCTCTTGTCCTTTCCTCGACCTTTTGCGGAGCGCCAAAGTACAGGCAAGGCATACTTCCATATCGTGCACGATCCTTGGCTCAATGGTCCCGAAGTTCAAGTGTCGTCATGGATAGTCTTTCTTGCTCTATCGTCCCCACCTGCCGTCAGTAATGGCGCAGGCGTGGAACAACTTGTGCTAGAAATTGAGTCCGCAGCGGCCGAAGAAGGCATTGTCGCGTCTTCCACGATTCAGACAGCCGACGACAAATCTCCTGTGGATGCCATATTCGTAAACTTGCATTATGGAGATCACCTCCACACACCCACGCTCTTAACCTTCCCTTCTTCAGTTCCCGTCTTCACCACTCCAGAAGGAGCCCTCATCATCAAAAAACTCAATCACTTCGAGACCATCATCACCTACAAAGATCTCGAACAAGACACGTTCGCTGGCAACTGGATGACCTTGCACCCAAGCCCCATCCTCCCCTCCTGCCTAACAATCTTTCGCATCAAAGGACATCACGAACTCAACTTCCTCAGTGCTTTGATCTGGACCCCCGAACCGGGCACGCATGAAGCAGTTCTCTATTCGCCGCACGGTCTGCACACTTCCACGCCAGCTCTGCAGACGTTTCTGCGCCGCTCTACCCCAAGCTTCTCTACTCTTGCGATGCTGCATGGACTCAAGGAGAGCTGGACTTGGAACTGGCAAAATACTTTCGGGGTAGCGAGTGGACTGCAGTTGTATAGGGAGAGTGGAGCAAAGTATTGGATTAGTACACATGATGATCAGCTGAGCTATGGAGGTTTGGTGTGGTGGTTTGCTAATGATATCTTTAGGACGTTGGAGTGGGGGTTAGGGCAGGAGAAAAGGGGAGAAGGGGTGGTAAGGAAGGAAGTTAAGGTTGAGGAAGTGCAGAATGGGGAATGTTTTGTGTTGGTGTAAAGGTTGGTAGCTAATCTGAGACCGCTTTCCTTGTCGCTCTTCGTGCCTGACATGAGCCTATACATTACCTATCCATATATACGATGCCCCGAGGTATCGAGCCCTGAGTCCCCCATCCAGGTGGTCGTGCATCCCGCCCCAAGCACGCGTATATGCAACGCGAATCAGGTGCCGATTTTCTTATGTTGTAGTCTAGTGTAGCGCCACACCCTGATCTACATCCTTAGGTCTAGCGTAAATCCGTATAATATCGCATGCTTTTACTACAGGCCAGGGTTGCGTCGAGGCAGAATCTCACTTGTTACAGCTACTACACAGTCTTTACTCGCTGGTTAGAAGATCAGTAATATCTATTGCCAATTGCTAAAGAAAACAATGGTGTGTTGAGTCGATTTTGGTCAGTGTACAGCCTGGGTGGCTGGTGGCGGAGTAAATACCAAGGCCCAAGTCAGCCGCGGCTGAGAGCAACAACCGGTATTTAAGTGCGGCATGATCACTATCCCCAACTCGACATTTCACTAAACATCAAATATGGGCTGGTTTACTAAGTCCAAGAAAAGCTCGAATGTGTCGCAAGCTCCTCCCCACGAGACACCATGGCCGACATCCGCAGGATCGACAGCAAGCCATGGAGTGAATCCTCCTCTCTTGCCTCAATACCAAGCCACTCCGAGTCCTCAAAATTATCCGAGACCTCATTACGAGTATCAAGCTCCATACCCATACGAGTATCAAGCCCCAAGTTTGACCACAATCAATGAGGCGACTCCCTCACCAGTAGAGGATAACAGAAGGGACGGAAATATGCAAGTCATTGGACCTCTTATCGAGAGACCAGGCACTTCCAGGGAAACCTAACCGCTTTGGATCAGAGTGCAGCCGAGCCAAGATCTACACTGCCTGCTAGCCTAGAGTCGACGGCGGAACAAAACAGTTTATCGTACCATCCAACCAGCACTAGTGTAGTGATTGAGCCTTCTGTTTTCCCTCCGACTCAAACGGTGACTTCCCCAACAGTTGATAGTCTAAGCAAGCCAACATGCTCTTTAAATCTCATGTGCTATAGGTCCGGTAGCCAGGGCTGTATACGACGCCAGATCCAGGTTGCTAGTCGAGCCAGATGGGCTGCTTCTACACTCGATGTGTCCGAAAAACCTTGGAAGGACAACGCGAGTATGATCTTCAACGATCGAAAATTCTTCCATGCCCTCCATCAAGAGTACGAACAACACATTCGCGGCTTCTGGCGACGCTACCTATCACTCAAAACGCTGAGGCGGATTCGAGTTCTATCATATACACCTACTACTCGCCCGGAAGTTGTGCCGATGGACGACTTCACCCTACAAGAGGTCTTCTACGCGTATCAACATCCGAAAAGCATCGAAACAGAATCGGAGTGGATTGACTGGGTATTTCGTCTGCGTCAGGCTGACCGACGTCATGCTCTGGAGTTTGTCGAAGATTGGAGCGGCTTCCGCATCGGACTTGTTGGATCGGTGCCATGGGTAGTAGCGACTGTAGTCGGCGTTACATGGACGGCGAAAGGCGGTGATGCACAGACGGCGTTTACAGTCGCTGCATTCATACTGACTGTTGGAACTTGTGAGTTGAATTGGTCAATATGATAACCCATCCACTGATACATGTAAGCTTTGCTGGCGCTTCTCGCTATCGTCAGCAAAATCGAGTCTTGAAGCACGTTGCCGAGATCTATCGTCCCTTACTCGGGGTCTCGCAGGCATACAAAACGATACTCACGACAAGGTACTCGCTGAACCCATCCACTTTATCTGGTTTGAGAGTCGAATCCTCTAGCGGCGACACTCGCGAGTGAGAAAACACGCCATTGGTTCGCTGTATGATACGCGAACAGGCAAACATGCAGTGAGGCTAGTGTTTCGCTTCGCGCAACCCATATCGTCGTTGAGAAGAATTACTATGCGGGACGTGACCGGCTGTAGGCACCGACAAATATGGCGAAGAATGCCATCATGCAAGAATCAGGATTCGCGCTTGTCGATGATGAGCATTAGGACCAGTAACCATGAGAGTCCTTGAAGATGCGCGATCTGGATCCCGCTTGGCGCTCCATAGGACTATCTGTATTAGATGCTCGAGGTCTTTCTCAAGGATACGAGTCGGCAAGAATTGGGTGGGAGAAGAATAGACTGTCGAATTACATCGCAGCTGTCGACCTTGTCAGGGATTTGCTGGCTTCTCCGGATGTTAGTTTATAGGCCGATAACCCAACGTTGCAGCGCAATTAGGAGAACTGTCAAAACATTTCCTTCTCCCATTTTTGGACGGCAATGTACGGCAGGTGGGGAGGATTCGCGGTGCTAGGCCAAGGTAGGGCTCGTGGTCTTGGGGCGACCTCTTTACTGGGTAATTTCCAGTAAGATATATTTGTATGAGAAGTCCGTTGCTCGTTGTCGGCAGGTTCCTTCTGCGGTACACCAGTGAATTGATGAGCGATGGATTCATCATCCAGGCGGGACGGGGTCCAGATGAAATTCCTCGGTCCAGAGCTTGTTATCGCGTAGCTCACAGCCTGCAGAATTTACCCGCCACATTCGGAAATACCGTTATGTATCTAAGACTTCACCCGTTGCTGGGATATGCCGCTGCGTCAGTCCGGATAACATCTTCTTGCGTGGTGTGATGGTTGGTAGTGCTCCGCGCAAGTCAAACAAGGAGACACCATCGCTGAGGCCTAGCTTCATCTAGCGTCTTGGCGCGATGCCATCCTGAATCCTCCTATCGAGAGTTCGTGTCACCAGTTTCAACACGTTCTCCGCGATATTTGGCTAGAAATTCGTGTATCTCAATCAAGAATCCTACAACGGAAAGCTTTCCTAATGTTTCGGCGACTCCGCTTGTGGATAAAGTGGCATACTGTTCCGCCCAACCGCAAGCCAATCACCTTTGCCGTTAGGCATACTGCTACAATTTCCTGAACCCTCCACTTCACGAAAGGAAGACCATCGTTTTCCGCAAGCGAGCATCACGCCATCGCGCTATATGTCAATGGAGGCATCCGTCCGAATAAGCGATGATGAAGAGCTAACTCCAATGATGCGGACCGCTCCCGGCACTGTTTTAGTGTGGTTGATCGGGTTCCCGCTTCGCCTGAAGACCGAATACTGCGTGCATGCCCTCCAGATTGCGTCCCGAGAAGCTGGAAAATTTGCTGTCTTACCTGCCAACTGTGGCAAGGATACGTTCAACAAACGCGCGGCTCAAACCATCTCGGGATCAGTCGAGGTCTTCATCGACAACAACCTCGGAAACACGTGCTTGTGTTCGTGCATCTACTTGACACCGCTTGCATCGCACAAAGTCTACCACGATTAGGAGTGTCATGCGTAAACTTGCTAGAACGTTTCGCAAGAAAGCTTAAGCTGCGTAAGCATTCTTTTCGATTATTCCGGTGGAAACCCACAAGGTCTCGAGGACGGCATAAGGTAATGAACGGCTCCTTTAGCCGGCATGCCAGCCGCTTTGTGCCCAACGCGACAGCTTCACTATAGTTTTCTGGCATTGGCGCTGTTGCGCAGCTGCAGGTGGCACCGCGTCGCTGTACTACTCTTCACGAAGAGAGCCGTGTCGGCGGGCCCGTACCTGATACACTCACCCTCCTTTTGGCTACCCGCGCCGCTCACCCCACAAACCATACAACATGGTCATTTTCGCGATAGTCGTAGATCGGTCTCCGCTCAACAGCCATCATAGCGCATGTCTACGACGATGAATCAAGTCATTATATCGGACTTGAATCGGACGCCCATCGTTCAGATCCTCACTTGGTTCACTCTTGTTACCAGTCTGTTGGCATTCTTCACGCACGCCGGTATCAAGTTCTATGTGTTCCGGAGCCTCACGATCGAGTCATGGCTCGTTCTTGCAGCCTTGGTAAGTCCAACACCAGAATGCTGCGAGCGTTGACTAACGGAGTTGACCAGGTATTCTGCGTCGCACAGTCGATCGCAGTGTCACTGCAAGCTCACTATGGCTTTGGCACACCGATTGCGACCTTGGACGGATATCAGATTGAGTCGAACCTCAAAGTAATTTCCCACCTCCGCTCGAGTATCTGGTCGGGAATGCTGATATGAGTGTAGTGTGAATACGCTGCGATGATCCTCTTCATCGTCTCCCTTGGCTTCTCGAAGCTTGCTGTCGTAGCATTCGTCCACCAATTGACGCCCTCCGAACTTCATCGTAGAATCAACTTTGGCGTCTTGGCTGTGATAACTCTGTGGCTGGTGTGTTCCGTGTTAGTCGCAGCGTTCGAATGCCGGCTACCACGGCCGTGGGATAGGACATTGGATCGATGCATCGACCGTGTCAGTAAACTGCACAGATGCTGATTCGACCTTGTGACTGACTATGGATAGTTGACCTGGTGGAATATCGTTTCCTGTTTCAACATCGTAACGGAGATCGCGATCGTGGCACTCGAACTGGTCATAACAGCACAACTTCAAATACGACGACAACGGAAGGCGGCGGTCATGACCTTATTCTCATGCCGACTGCTGTAAGTTCGAAGTCTCGAACGCACTCCAGTCAGTACTGACAATCTCTTCGTAGCGTTCTCGTTGCTGCTGCGATCCAGCTTGGCTTCTTCAACCGCGAAAGCACCGATGCTGCTCTGAAGGACGATCTGACACTCGGTTATTGGCGATCAACCATCTGCAACCAGATTGTGCAATGTATTGCCATTGTGACAACATGCCTTCCATACACCAAATTGTTTATGGAGGGTTTCGAATCGGGGCTGATGCGTTTGGACGACTTACGTCGTCGAGGGGAGCATACCTCCAAAGACGACAGCAAAGGGTACCAGCTCATGGACATATCACGATCAGGGCGCTCAGAGCATTCTACCCGTTCTCAGGGCGGGCCCGATAGAAGCATCAAGGTATCGAAGAGTTGGGCAGTGCAAGTAGACCCCATAGCTCACATGCCGGCTGCAACAATACCGCAGTGAAAACCATAGCACTACAGTGCAAATATATCCATAGTAGACGAGCTTTCAAAATGTACATACCAACACATGCAAAAATTTGGCGTTCATTGCAGCGAGCGCGCACCCCTGCTGCACCCTCGTTTCGCCTTGCATGTGGCACGGCACGTATGCCGCAGCATATGCGCCTAGTTTTCTTTGAGTAGGTGGTCCGGACCGGGACACGGTGGTGTGATTTTATTGGTTTGCGGGATATAGGGTAACGGTAAGGATCTTGTACGAGGATCAACAAGTCCATCTCGGCTGGAATGTTGTGCATAAGCCGCTTTTCATCTATGCAGTTGCTGTAGTACTTGTTCCTACGGTAATTCGCTTCTTGCTTTATTTTTTTGCGCTCATCTCTCTTTCCCTTTCAACATCTATCCGTATCACAGGTCCTTTGATTGTCTTTCTTCTCGGTTCCTCTTCTCGTGTTGGTGATACGATGGCGTCGTCTACGACCAAGAGTGGCGATGTCGAGCTGGTCGTCTCGCCGACTCAGTCTACCACCAAGACCGACGACCTTGCGCTAGCGAGACTGGGAAAGAAAGCTGTGCTAAAGGTACGTATCATCTCTGACGCTTTTGCTTACATCACTAACGGCATTGCAGCGCCGGTTTGGTTTCCTATCCATCCTAGGATTCAGCTGTACCGTTTTGATCACCTGGGAAGGATCTCTTGTGTTAGTTGTACAACATCCCAGTACTACATTGACACGTAGCTAACAAGGTCAAGGCTGTTCCTAGTCGGTTTCCAAAAGTGAGTAATGGTACGACGTACTGACGAAGGGACTGTATGCTGAAAGAAGAAGTGGTGGGCCGGCTGGTGTCATCTATGGCTACCTTACCGTCTGGGTAGGCACTGTATCCGTCTTTATGGTTCTCAGCGAGCTTGTCTCAATGTGAGTGGCAATTGAAGTCCGGTTTGAAAAAGGCCAATTGCTAAGAATGAATCAAGGGCGCCTACATCTGGTGGTCAGTACCATTGGGTGTCTATGCTTGCTCCACCAAGCTCCGCGAGACTTCTTAGCTACATCTCAGGTACAGCAATTTTCTTCCAAATCTCAAACTCCATGACTTGATCGTTTGTTAACACACTTTTTTATAGGGTGGCTCACACTATGCGGCTGGCTCGCCTCTCTCGGCTCCGGCGCCTTCCTAACCGGCGGTCTCATCCAAGGTCTCCTCATGCTCTGCCAACCTGACACCTACGTCCCGCAAAATTGGCACGTTACCCTCCTCTACTGGGCCATCATCGCCTTCTGCGTCTTCATTAATATCGCTGCCGGATGGCTACTGCCCAAGTTCGAAGGCGCGCTACTGGTCTTGCATATCCTGGGTTTCTTCGCCATCTTGATCCCTCTTCTAGTGCTAGGACCGCAGGGCAATGCTAAAGAGATCTTTACGACGTTCGTCAACATGGGTGGCTGGCAAAGCCAAGGATTGAGCTTTTGTGTTGGAATCATGGGGAGTGTATTTGCCTTTGTTGGTGGTGACGGGCCGATTCATGTGAGTATGCTCATAAAAGAGACGAATGCATGCCACTACCATTCGCAGCAAAGCACTAACATGCTGTTATAGTTGTCCGAGGAAATCCACAATGCACAGGTTGTGGTGCCTCGCTCCATCATGACCGGCATTGCAATCAACGGCTCTCTCGGTTTCGCCATGATCCTCACCGTGCTTCTCCGCATGGGCAACCTCGATGAAGTGCTCGATGAGAATCCTGCTTTTCCCTTTATGGCCATATTCCACCGCGCTGTACAATCGCGATCCGGTGCTGCAGTCATGGCATCGATCGTCATGGTACTTACCATCAGCGCGAACGTAGGCTTCTCCGCGTCAACATCAAGGATATGTTGGGCCTTTGCCCGAGACAGAGGACTACCAGGATGGAGAACTTTGAGCAAGGTATGTATACAGCCCCTCTATCTATATGAGCGGAAAGAAGCAGTGTTAATCCCAACCAGGTCAGCGATCGTACATCCATCCCCGTCTACGCCGTAGCCTTCACAAGCTTCATCGCCTGCCTACTCGCCCTCGTAAACATCGGATCAACCATCGCCTTCAACGGCGTGATCTCCGTCGCTATCGCCGGTCTCTTTTCTTCTTACCTGCTCACATCATCCCTTCTCCTTTATCGCCGCTGCACCGGTGCCATTCTCACCCCCAGCGAAGCTTTCGACACGGACACAACATCTTCATCCACCACCAGGGACGGAATGTCACGCACCGTCTGGGGCCCTTGGCGCCTTCCCGGTGCCATCGGCATCGCAAACAATGTCTTTGCTTGTGCGTATCTTAGTTTCGTCTTCTTCTTTAGCTTTTGGCCGAGCTTTGCTGCTGTTACGCCTGCAAATATGAACTGGGCTGTCTTGGTCACGGGTGCCATCGCTGGAATCAGTGCGATTTATTATGCGGTTTGGGCGAGGAAGACGTATCATGGACCTGTTATTGAGATTGACGAGCGGGATCTTAGTGGTAGGGTTAGTGTGATTGAGCAGAGGCATGAGTTGGGGAGTACGTAGAGTATGGTGGGTGTTTGAATTGCTCGAGTATAAAGGAGTGGTGTTTAGTATATTGCGAATACCGCTTGTAGCCAGTATAATTGTGCATAGAAATAATTCTTCTCGTCCTGGATACAAAAGCGTACTGATCAATCAAGCAGCGTGATCGGGTTCGTTGCATGACCAAGTCACGTCGGCTCACCTCTGCCTCCCTAATCCACCTCCAAAATGCCTTTCAGAAGCGAAGCCTGATCCTGCATTCTCAACCCAGCCTCCACGTACTCGATTGAGATCAGCAGATATCCAAGATCTCAATTTTCATCTCCTTATTGTTAGAAGCCGCTCGAAGTCGATCGATTGTGTTCTTCTTTTCTTGAACACTCATAGCACTCATATCCCTCAGGACCAGTCGCTTCAGATTTGGTACCAGGGCAAAATTGCGACTATAGTCGTAAATCTTATTTTCAATGGGATAAGCATGGTTCGCCATAAGAACTTCAATCCTATGCCTCTGAGCAGAGGTAAGCTGATGCAGTAGTGGCCCAACGCCTACGTCCGTCGTCGCGCCAAACGAGTTAAAAGTGAAAGCGTAGTACTCTCCGAGCTCACGACGGACCTGGGTACATGCGAGTGGCAAGTTGACGGCCATGATCTGTTTGATGGGTTTGAGACTCCAGATCTTTTGCCCCAAAGGGCGACCCCATAGCGGTGACTTTTGGTCACAATTGGAAATGAAATAGATCTCATTGCCTCCGAGCGCAAAGTAGTAAATCTGATTGCGTATCTCGCTTGGTAATCGTAGGAAGGGTGAATCGAATTGATTCCGCGCAGCGATGGCTTGGTATACACCAGCGTCACCGACTTTGGTTTCTGATGTTACCATGGCTATATCCACATGTACTACAGTTGAGAAAGTTTCGACAGGATGTGGTTGCAAATTTTCGTCGTCTGTAGTTTTATGCTCGAGTTTTGGCCGCTTGCGTCGATCATGCGTCACTCGATTGGTTGATGACATACTGATCGCGGGACAAGCAACCGGGAACTTTTGGGCGTGAAAACTTTGATATGCGAAATGGTGTCCTTGCGTGCGTTTTATGGTGTCCTATCGCTGTCGATGACGATCGACCCGGTGCAGCTGTGTGTGCTATCGTAATGACTGATCTTCGACTGATTTACTATCATACTAAAACAATAGACAAGAGACCCACTGAAGAGCTGATTCTCCAAGGAGGAATTGAGATGAGCGAAATATATAACACCCGATCCATGGTTCGGATGCCTGGTGCAACCGTGGCGCAAGCGGCGCTGATGCCTGATTCGTGAACTTTGGAGTCAGCGCCGTTGAGGTCCAAGTACGGCTTGGACTTGACGCTTATCGGCTACGGCTGTACTTTAAAGAGTTTAAAGGACCTGATGACTTATCTAGCAATACCAGCCAAGGCATGCTAGCAACATACGGACTATGCCCAAAGAAGCTAGCAGATTCGGCTGGCCAGTGCAGCCTCCGTCATCTCATCTTCATCCAATGTCTCTTTCCCCCACACCCCATCATCACCGAATACGCGATTGACGACGCTTACTCCCTCTATCTATGGATATATCTGTCTCGTGCTAGATATGTTGGGATTCTTTCGATGCACGCTGCGAGTCATCGTTTACTGCAATGCCACCTAGGGTACACTGTCCGCAGCCAACGAAATCGCGTGCGTTTCGAATAGCTCTGTTTGCAGCTATAGTCGAGCGGAGTTTCGTTTTCTTTGCCTATATGCGGTAGGCTGGGAAACGTGAAGTAGGGTGCTCGTGAAGCAGACAGCTGCCGATATCGCATGATAGCGCTGTCGACTGGTAAATATATTTTCGTATCTTTCACTCACAGTGAGTCGTACATCGATTTTCGCCTTCTGCTCCAAATTTCGTACCTGAAGGTGATACGTGAATGCTCATGCTCCACGTCTCTTGGCTGAATTGTTGATTGATCATTCTTGAGCTTTCACTATCACTCGACACTGATTGGTCGCTGTGACAACAAGCACTCACTTTGACACAACCCACATACGGAACAAAATTCCATTGAGACATCATCACCAGGATCGCTTCTTTTCTTCATTCGTAGCACGGCAGTCCTTTTGAAAGATCATCAGTTCGATAATGCCCTCACTGAGGGACCTCAACTGCGCGATCGAGCTGTCGGAAAGTCAACAGGCATTGCAGGAGTTTGGTACTACGTACGGCGATGGTTTCGTCGAGACCTTCATTCCCGTACCCAGCAAGCCGCAGACCTTCTCGATTCACCTTACATCCAACAAGTTCATCGCTCCTGGCGTTGCAATCTTTGTCTACGTCGACGGAGTTTATCAGTGCAACCGCAACAGGCAAGACTTGAAGCCTCGGAAGCCTTCAGATAACCGCTCTCTTGTCGATTTTCGCGTACGTCAGAAGGAAGAGAGGCAGGACGATGGTTCGATGGTTGCACGCGAGTGGGCCTTTGACAAGCTCAACATCAGTAAGTGTTGCGAAGACTCCACAAAATCGCGGCCTGCTAACTAGTCACAGCTTCAGCAGATGATGCGCCAGATCTGTGTTCACCAGACGTCCTCCAAAACATAGGATGTATCGAAGTCGTCGTCCTACGGTGCGCTGGAACACGAAGTGCCAAGTCTGCCTCGACGATGAACTTTGACGGAGCAGGAGATTACCCTAAACATCTCTATGACTTGGATAACACCTCTTCTCCATCTGATGAGAGGTCCATGTACGATGATCGGGGTCCCTTCTTGACTCCCTTTGACAATGGCCACGGCCCACCACCTCCAATTTTGTCTTACCACCCACCTTACGTGGAAACCCCCCGCAGCCAGGAAAGCTCGACATCGAGAAACCGTCGCACCGCGCATAGCCCTCATGAGACTTTCCCTCCAGCACCTATCACTCGTCGTTCTGAACTACGCTCTGTATATTCCGAGGCTGTTAGCCCCGGGGCAAGGACCACCAACGATCTTTCTTTGTCCGGTGTTCAATATGGCAGCGGTCCTATCCCACGCGACGGACAGATATACAAAAATCAATCTTCAGATATCAGGGCTACACAACCTCCGGCTATGGATCCAATGTGGTTGAACAATCTTCTCGCTACAGCAGTAAAGCAGGGGGTGGAAGAATCGCGACGGATGGATATACAGTCAGAACATCAGACTAAATACAAGATACAGAAGGTTGATGCAGAGACTACAAGTCAACCACCTGGCGCATGGCCTGAATCTCCTTTGAATATCGGTCCGTCATTACGTCGCCCATCTGAGCCTGCAGCTTCGTCCTCGCGCAACCACGAAAGCGCCCATGGATCGCAATGGGATCAGTCTCAGGCTGATTGGAGCGAGCGGAAAGCACGGAGTAGAGCAGGCACTCGCGTAACCTGGATTGAGACGCCGGCAGACGAGACTACGTCTTCCAGTGCCGACGGGTGGACCTTGCGCGACAAAGCCGCGTCCGATTCCTGGGACACTGGAGATACTTGGCCGACTGACAGAGTAGCTGAGTGGGAAACTTCCAGCCAAAAGTGTAAAGCTTGGGCACCAAACCAGCCCAGTCATCATCGCTCAGTACGCCGCTCCTCTATTTCTCCCCGCTCACAAGAGCGGCGAAGCTCGAAGCACGATTCGCAGCGGAGAGCACGTTCCAAATCGCGGACGAGTCATCGGCGGCGAAAGTACGAGACTATTACAGAAGATGAAGAACAGATTGGAGGTTGGGATCATATCAAAAGGCCTTCAGACTCCGTGGTCTCGTTGAGTAGCTCAGATGCCACTATCCAGCCGTCGCTTTCTCAAAGTCGGATACACACGCCACGGCGGAGATCCAAGAGCGTCTCTCGACGTTCCAAGTCAACACAGCGCGAAAAGCAACGAAAATCATCACGACATTCCCATCGTACACCGACTGAGGAAACAGTACATGCGAGGGCAGCGCCTGTGCCTTCAGTGGATGCAAGGTTGGCGCCGGTGGTCATGAATGCACCCATTCCTGCTACTTCGCATCATGCACACTCCAAGCCGCCTAGCATATATGCAGATCCGTCAGTCACAGTCATGCAGCTACCAGAATGGGCTTCTCAGGTACATGATGCGGTGCGCAAGCCTGATATTGCCGCCAGTACTTTAGCACCTGCACCATACGCATCTTCGCTGAAGGGTTTCGTACAGAGCACGAAGGGTAAGATAAAAGGAGGATATCGATCGTCTTCTTCATCTTCCTGGGGTAACGATAAGAACGATGGCGCTGTGAATATGTCGTGGGGCAAGGCAACCAAGAAGGATGCTGGTTGGAGCAAGAAGAGTGATACAGGTTGGCATGGAAAGGGTTCTAGGGACAATGATAAGAAAGGCTGGTTGTCAACCGATGATGACACTTCCAATGGTTGGGCGAAGGATGATGATGACGAGACTATCAAAGTTGCTGATGGCTGGAACACGAAAGAGACCGGTTGGGATACAATAGCAATTCCTCCAATCGAGAAGAAGCACGGCAAGAACGACCTAGCCGATCTGAAATCCGCTCTAAAATCCGCCTTTGAGAATCCATCAGCTCCAGAAGCGGCTTGGAAGAATCAGTCACGCGGCATTCCGCGCAACACTGCAAAGCCTGCTACACAACAGGCGACGCCTACGCCCTTTACCACCGTTGCAGCACAGACACCGCCACCATCAAAACAGCCCCAGCGTATGAGTAATAGAACTCTAGCCCAATACTGGCCAAACCACCCTTCCTCCGGGCCTGAACCGTCACCAACCCAACAATCTGAACGCCGGAGCAACAAATCGCTCGCAAACTACCACCCCAACCACCCCTCCCTCTCCTCACCAATTCCAATCTCAGCCCCACAACCACATTGGCAGTTCCCACCTCCCCCATCGGCTTCCCCCCCTGCCAACCCATTCTCCTCAAACAGCACTTACATCGCCCCTGAACTCCCCCGCCTGACAATCTCCCAACGCACCTCTACAGCAAAGGGTATCGAACACGCCGTCCGACCAGGTAGAGCAACGCACTATGGTCATGCTGTGGGCAGACCGCAGTATCTGGATGGACTGGACAAACCGTATGCGGTGTTTAGGTTCAAGTATCGTAGTGTGAGTGTACTGAGAGGAATGTTCGGGCGGGAGGTAGACGATGAGAGGATTTCCCCGTCAAATCGGATGGACACGAAAGAAAAAGAAGAAAAAGAAGACGGAAATAAGGAAAAGGTCAAAGCTGGGTACTCACAGGACGAACTGATTACCAGGATGATGGAGTTGGAACGGAAACTCAAGAATGTTGGTGTTGGCGCTGTTCAGGATAGTAGGGAACCAAGGCGTGGTGAGGTGGAGAAGAAAAAGAAACAGCGCAGAGTTAGTGCTGCGACAGAGGGGGTAGCGAAGAACTTTACGGAACAGTGGGTTGAGCGGCACTCGAAGGATCCAACTGTAACATCCGTCCTATGAAGCGGCACCCCCTATGTAACGGGACGCCACAGCCACTTCCCAACATAACAATCTCCACAACAGGCTAGAGGAATAGACATTCTTAAAATAGTAGCCTTCTTTTATAAATTATACTCCCTTCTAATCCCTTTTATAATTAGGCTCTGCCTAGTGTGCGATACGTTAATTTGGTGTAAGCGTCACGCGACTGCCTCACTTTTACTTGTGGTAGGTACGTCGGAAGCTTATACATCTTCTCAAGAGTTTGTTGACTTACAGCCTAATATATCAATTTGCTGCGCACGACACCTTCACTCTGCCGCATAATCTGCTCTTCTCCTAGACAGTCCCATTTACTGGGCCCGATGAATTTTGCTGAGTTGCAGATAGTTGTTGCTGTGCTGCGTTCCTCTCTTTGACTCGATGATAGAGGCCGTAAGCTGAGAGAGAATATAGTCCTGTAGCATATACTAGAGTCAAGATGAATAGTACAACAATCTAGTTGCACACTTAGTGATTAAACTTTCTCGGGGAATGAGACATCTCTCCCTACCTTAATATCGTGTTTGACCGAACTTGGAGACACTGAGCTTATCACAACGAAAACGAGTCCAACTATATAGAATATCACACTTGCATTCAACAGCGATATTGGCGCTTGCCAGATGATAAGCTGAAGTCTGCTTGGCCTCCAAACGTCGTCCTCGCCTTGCGTTCCCAGAACTTCCCGAATGTTGCTAAGACCGTCAGGGTGGCTACCTAGCCGTGACAGGGCAACGGCTAACTGTGTAGAGGTTGCAATCGAGGCTAATGCCAAAGCCAACCCACTATACCAGACTGCTTGAATGTTGGATAGCGCATAGTACGACAGTCGAGTAAACACTGGCCAAGTAAATGACGCTGCAATTACTCCGGCAAAAAGAGCACTCTAGAGGTAGAATCTCAGTACAATATGCGACTAAGCTCAGGGGATACATACGGTGATTGAGATGGTGTTTAGCTGCACGATAGCGTTGTCCCTCCATAACGAGGTAAGGCGATCTTTTTCTTCCTTATCCCGAGCATCAAGCATGTGTTTAATCGGCGCAGACGAAACCTTCCAGGCTGCCGCTTGGAATGGCAAAAGAAGTTTGATGAATGTGAAAATGCGACTCATGATGCCTATCGCTGTGCTCTGCATATAGCAAACTGCGAATGAATAAAGCATGAAAGTCCAGCAACTAAATACGATCAGAATAGAAACAAAAACAGTATACAACTCAAGAAATTACCCTGGATGCATCTGGCTGCTGAGGATGGTGGGAGGCGATGCTCGCACCGCCACCGCCACAATGCTTCGGAGCTCGTATTCTCTGAGCGCAACAAATCAACGTAGTACGTCATCCTGTAGAACCTACTACGACTCTGTTTCTATAGTAGAACTTTATTGGAGTATATCGGCTGAGTTACAGTGGCATTGTTCCATGGCTTTCTCTGTCCAATCTGCACTGCCTCAATTGCCTGCACCGCCTCCACCAGCTGAACCGCTCAAGCGAAAATGCTCCAACCCGCAAGCCTCAGGCTGAGTGACGTGGCCAACGTCATTGATAAACTGACTTCGCGCCATCCATTCTTTCACATATACCCATCGACATCTGACATAGGGTGAGGAACGTGAAGAGATGGGCTCAGACACAACACCCATGGCCAACCCAGAAGACTCAGATCTCGACGAGAGCAATGCGCAAACGCACGACGTGTTTCTTAGGCGCTACACTCTATCATACTCTGCTTCCTGTCCGCCGTTTTTTCGCACTTGGGTCTCCCTCTACGAAAACATTGCTCCAACTAGCTGGCTGTCACATTACACGTTGATTGTTGGGGACTACTATTTCGACCTCGAACGTCAAGGCTCGCTTCCTTTTGCTAGCGTTGCCAAATTTCGCACAAGAAAGTCGAGTGACAAGGTCGAACACCTTAGCGACAAGGACAAGTGGCGTCATACGGACGAAAGGCTCGGCACGACGGCGGTATCCCCGAACACTATCAAAACAAAGCGTATGTGGTTTATACTTAGCCGTTTCTCAGAGATGAAGTAACCGCTTTCTAGTGGAAGCACAAGACCAATTGTTCCGCGAAAAAAACACTGGCGCCCAAAACTGCCTTTTGAATGGCTTTAGGGAATATTCACTGCTAAATTCGAATTGTCAACACTTCATTCTCGAGTTGACTCGCCGGATAAACGTGAATTTTGTTTCAGATGCTCTCGAGGAAAAGATTGTCCGCGATAGTACACGACCACGCACCCTATGCGGGTTCTTCTTGTTTCATTTTGGGTTCATTTTGAGCCTTCTTATGTGTATGCCATCTGGCATCCTTTCAAGAACAATTATCTACCTTTCTGCGGTCGAATTCCACATTGGATACGCCATATCCATCATACAAGACACCAGAGCGTCTAGGCAACGGCTCGATCGACTCGAAAACGAATACCGCTATCTCCAGACAAGAGATTATCGAGACATGACATGGATGAAGCCAAAGCAGGGTAGAGTACTTCGGAATTACAACAGATACCGGTTTAGTTGGTTTTACCAATACCACTTGCTTACTTCCTTGAATGGCTCATTTTACGGACTCTTTATCGGCTTATACTTCGTGTTACACTTCGATGCCTGGACGACGGTCAAGGTCGTTATGGCGATTTGCTTCAGCTACCCGATCGTAATCGGAGTACCGGCTTACTATATTCTGGCATTCTTGAAATCGGAGAACGAAGTCACCCAGCTTTTGGAAGACGATGAGCAGAAACGGATCGACGCAGCCTGCGAATTCATCACAACTTGTAACCCCTGTAACTATCGCGACCCAGACCTCTGGCTATCCATCTTTTGGGCGATTGTCGGCCATCCGAAGAAAGGTTTGGAGCCGTTAGCAGACTGTACAAGCCAGGAAGTATATCAACAACCATTTGGCAGAGAGGATCTCGGGCGAGCGTTCATTATGTTGGAAGAGGAAAGAACTGGAAACATCTTCACGAGTTGGAAGTATTTGGTTTGTTTGTTTTTGGCACAGGTGGGGAAGTCTGATCTCAGTTATAGACAATGCCGTTGCGAGGTTTAATAAATCCATGATTTCATCGTTGCTGAGATTGAAAAATGTGGTTTAAGGGTGGTCAGTATATGGTCAGCATCATAGCCATTTATAGGGTCGCGAGATTGGAGATGTCTGTATTGGCAACACAGGCTGGAGAGCCCTTTCACATCAGGCAGTGATCTGCCTAGCCACTGTGTCTTCGCTTTTTGTGGCCGTACCTAGCTGTCCGCGTCAGCTTTCGACGGGCTGCTGATTGCTAGATAGCTATGCGGTCGTCGGGCCATCTCGGATGTCTGCGTGAGCGACCCTGGCTCGACTGCTGACGTCCGCTGTAAGAGACCAACACCTAATTCGGTGGCGAAAAGTCTACAAATGGAGAAGACTAAGAGATAAGAGAGGAAAAGCAAGGGAAGCGGGCTGGGGCGAGGAAAGGAAAGCGGACGAGATGTGCGTACAGAATGTCAATAAATGGGGGTGTAAAATGGAAATCAGTTTAAACTTCTTCAGTTATTGGGAAGAATGGAACAGGATTCCGTGCGGAGTATGTATAGTAGATTTTGTATTTGCATAACGATGAGATACAAATTTACAAGACTAGTGTTGTCATGATCACGTTTGAAACGACATTCAACTATGTTCATAAATAATCTTGCACTAACGTATAGTAAGTTCATCCTCACTCCCATCATCCTCATCATCCATCCACTTCCGTTTCCTCGCATCCAGATTCCCCAGCGCACCACCTAGACTCCTCCTCCCTGCGCTTTTCCCTACAACATTCTCCTTCGCAGGCGTCCCCTTCCTTGTCCACTCCCTCTTGACCTGTTTGAGAAAGGATTTCCGGTGAGCTTTAGACGTGGACTTGGTTGCGCCCGTTTCGCTATTGCCGTCCACATCGCGGGGTTTGGGCGTCCGGAAGAGCATCGGCGTTGTGATCGCGTCGTGTTTGCGTTTGAGAGATGGGGTTGCTGGGTCGGCAGGAGAGGGAAGGAGTTCGTCATGGCCGGTGAGGTCAAGGGAAGCATCTCTACTGCTGATGAGTGCGGTGTGCGTGCTTTGTTGGTTGGACGGGTAGCGGAGAGTTGTGCTCACGGGTTCGGCGGATTCCTGTGATGCGACTGTTACATTGCTTGAGTCCTCTTGCGCACCATCTTTGTTGTCTTGAGAGTCGGGTATCATCTTAGCGAAAAGTGGAGATCGTTTTCGCTTGACAAGCGTTGTCGGCGAAGATAATGGTTCGGTCTTTACTGTGGCTGAAGACGCGCGGGTAGGTGTCATGACGGTGTCTTGTGTTAGCAGGTCTACAGATGCTCGTGTGGGTGTCATATTGAAATCCTGCGTCTGCGGAGTCGAAGGCAAGTCCTCTTCTAGCATGGTGTCTTCTTCATCGACAAGATCTCTTGTCTCGATGGATGGGAGTATTACATCTTGCGATGCAACTACAACTGCGGTTGTGTCGTCACCGCCAGGAGGGAGATGGTCTTCGTCTGGATCGGATCCGGCCAGGGATAACAGATCCAGCTCGTCGTCGTCGTAGTGCGAAATGGACGACAACCTGTCCTGCTTGTTTTCTTCCATCGAAACTACGAGATCCTGATGGCAATCTTCATGCTCGGAAGAAATTGGCGTCGGTAGGTGGTGCGGTGGCTTCGAGACGGCGGGAACTTCTTCCGTGGAGATATGATCGCCTCCATTGGCAGAATCGCTTGTGGAAGCTACAGAAGCGCCTTGCAAGTGTAGATCTTGATTCTTTATCAAAGTCCAACGATTGCGAAGTGCGCTGATCGGCCACCGCTTCCATTTCTCTCTGCCTCCCCAGATTACTGCCCATGAGGCACCATCTATTGTCTTCCGCTTGCTGATGTATATATCATCTTCACTAGTGAAGTGGTATTTCGTTGGCGGGCCGGGACCACGTCTCTGGATCCCGACCCGTGGACTGTTTCTCTTGGGCTTCGTAGGCGAGCTTTCGTCTGGCCTTGTGTATAATGTCACCAAAGGTCTTTCTTCGCCTACATCTATCGATATAATGTCTGCGTGTTGTTCATCGGCCGCCTTCTCTGTAGGCGCTACGCTGTGGCTCGGGAGGGGGCTCGACTGAGCGGTTGGACATGAGCACGGTTGTGCAGACAAAGGTGGATAGAACCATTTCGGATCTGTAGGAGGCGCCACTTTGTCACCTGTTGTTGTAGGCGTAGTCGGCGTGGGGGCCACATTTGCAAGGACTACTGGGGTGTTTGGATCATTCTGAAGTTTCGCCATGGAGTGCATCCAGTTGACGAAGGCACTCTGCGCCTCTTGACCAGCAGGCGTCTGTGGAAAATGTAGATATGGTAGGACATTTGGGACAGGGTTTGGCGCATTTGGTGTTTGCGGTACACCAGTCTGTAGCACGGATCTTGCTGAAACGTCCGATGGGGGTGACGTAGGTTGTTGCGCGCTTGTTAAGGCAGGTTCCAGTTGCCGGTTGCTCATGTCTTGCTCTGGTGGTACAGTAGTCTTGGACTTTACCGATTGCGGGAGTGCCAATTCATCTTCCGAGTCGCCTTCGTTTGCTTCTCCTTCCTCCGAATCTCCCAGGCTGTCCCCAGTCGATAGGAACGTATCCAACAACCCTTTTCCTTTCCCATTAAGTCGACGGTCTATTCTTCGCAAATGTCCTCTGTCGACCACCACCTGGTTCGTATTAAAGTCGATTATGTCGCTCTGTGACTCGTTCATATTTCCGAACTTCTCGAATATCGACTCGAGCCGGCTTTTGAATTTTTGCTGTTGTTTCCGCTTTGCCTCGATGTATTCGTCATTCTCTTCGTCGATCTCGGCTGATTGGAGTATGCGCATGCGCTTCGTCGGCGATTCCATAGCGCGCGTATGAAGCTGATCTGACAGAGATCATGTGTACAGGGTGAACGAAGAGAGCGTGGGTGGATTGGTGGGGAGTGATCGCTTGTGAGACGGTGTGTGGTACAATTAGTGAGAATGACGCGAGACGCGACGCGACTTCCTCGGCAGGCACCCGACGCCTCGACCCCACTGGCCGGCCCGCAGGTGATCGCCGTTCGTGAACCGCAACACCGTCATTCCAACACCTATCAACTTTACATTCTCCACCCTTCTTCAAACATGAAGGACCACGAGTCATAACAACATGGCCAACGACAAGAAACAGACGGGCTTGGCTTGCCAGAAATGCCGGACACCCATCGACATCGATGCCTCTATTGACCAGCTCAATCCGGCAGCCTTCAAGCTATTGACTGGTACATTCCTAGGTCACGAGATTACGGCACAGCATACTAACATGCGACAGACTCGACAGTACCAGGAGAACAAACAGCATCAAGAATCTCGCCCAACCGCCAGTCGCGCCCACCCAACCCTCCCGAGCACCTCAAGACGTATCAAGATGCAGCCAAAGATGCCAGAAACCCTACCTTCAAACGCAACATCCAGGGCGCACCGCCTTCGGGACGCTCAAAAGGCGCCCAAAACCCCGCCATGTCCTTCATCGACGTCCACATGTCCGAGTCGATGATAGACCCACCCTCATCCACTTCCCGCAGTCCAGCTCGTAAACCACCAGCCAGCAGCGACAAGCCAAACGCAAATGACAAGGCACGGCGGAAGAGTTTTACAAACAGTCTAAGCAATGTACCAGGCGGCGCAACTCTAGCAGATGGCTTAGAAACCACGAACCGGCTCTTCGAGATCCTCTCGGCTCGCTCCGACATCGACCACCCCATCTGCGTAGAATGCACCGACCTCCTCATCGACGGCCTCCAAAAGCGTCTCGGCGTCGCAACCCGCGAACGCGACGCCTACGTCGACTATCTCCGCCGCGCAAACACCGACGTGCCCTCCGCCGACGAAGTCAAACTCGCCGAAGCCGCCCTCACATCCGCCCGGAAAGCAGAAGCAACTGCTATAACGCAGCTCGAGGCCCTCGAGCACGAAAAGGCCGAACTTGACAACCAGCTTGCGGCCCTGGAAGCAGAGTCGCGCAGTCTTGATATCGAGGAAAGCGAGTTTTGGAAGTCACGCAACGAGTTTAACACCCAGTTGACCGAGATACAGAATGAGCGAGATGCGCTGGCCACGCGGTATGCGCATGATGCGCAGGTCCTGAACCAGCTGCAGAGGAGAAGTGTGTATAATGATACGTTTAATATTACGCACGACAACCATTTTGCTACTATCAACGGCCTGAGGCTAGGAAGACTGCCGAACCCTTATGTGGATTGGCCGGAGATTAATGCGGCGTGGGGACAGACTTGCTTGCTACTTGCTACACTAGCCGAGAGACTAGGCTACAAGTTCGAAGGGTACGAGTTGTGTCCTATGGGGTCTACGAGCACGATTACGAGGCTGGAAGCTAAAGGCGGCGGGAACTTGACGGCGACGACGACGACGGCAGCCGAGTCGACGAGGAATGCGGGAGTCCACGGCGCGACGAGTGCAAATGCGCCGCAAGTCTCAAAACACAGACTCGAGTTGTACTCTTCTGGCGACTTTCCCATCAACTTTGGTTTCTTGCACCGGAAATTCGACACGGCTATGGTTGCGTTCCTCGAGTGCTTACGCCAGTTGGGGGAATTTGTTGAAAACTCTGCTACTACCACTACTTCTCCGCCAGGCCAGAGTAGCCTGGCGGGTCCTGGTGGGCCCCAAGGTGTCAAGATGCCGTATGAGATTCGCAAGGATCGCATTCACGATCAGAGTATCAAGTTGGCGTTGAATAAAGATGAGGGGTGGACTAAGGCATGCAAGTATACACTGACGTGCTGTAAGTACTTGCTTGCGCATGCAAATAATGTTGAGAGTATGGGAGTGAGGAGGAGGTAGAGTGAGGTGGACGGAGCAGTGAGGTGTGATATAGGGAAGGCGGAGAAGAGAATGGGGATAGCAAGTTTTGTGATTTGGTTTAAATAGGTTAGATACCCCAATGATGATTCTTATTTTTTTTTAACTTGCCTCACTATAGACTTGACTTTTTGTTCCTTGTGCTTCGGTTTATCCTTCAAAGTGAAGAGGACGGCGGACTTGCATCAAATCTACCTCATGTCTTCTACGCCTACGTCTAACATCCTTATCTGGTGTTGCAGTTTTGGAACATAGATGAGGAAACAAGTGACTAGTCGTGATACCACACGGACAAGGTATCCATATCTCGTGTGACACTAAGCCAAACAAGAAGACATGTACATGAAGCGTTTCCGTGCTCTCTTCGCGTGATGTTCCTATCTTGCGTGACACAACGCCAAAAAGAACGGAAACATGTGTACATGAGGCTCTTCATGCACCCAGCAGTCGATATCCCTATCTTATGTTGCACCATTATAGACGTGATGGAGACGTGTTCAGGAGCCACAGATAAGATAGTGCATCGCGGCTGTAACACCTATCACGTCATCTCAGTGTGGTCGTAGTATAGATCTACTTACGACTTCAATACCTTGGGACAAGGATGAGATGGTTGATCGAGGTTGAAGTCCCATTGTCAAAGACTTTGAATTGGTAGTCAAGGTCGCAAGCCCATTGAGTTGTGCTCCGAGTTTCCCCCGTTCCGTATTCTCATTCACTCACAGCTTTGTGTATGTGGGAATGTGCCATGTCGTTCAGAATGGGATGTGATGAGTTGTCCATTAAGCTCAAAAGCCCAAGATACCACCAGCAAGGAGTCCAACGACCGGCTGAGATAAGCTTTAACATACGTGTACCAAACCATGTTACTGCTCAAAGGAAGGTTATCACCTTGCTACTTTGATCGCCCGTACATCGTGTGATCACTCTCAATACGCTTCGCACACCGCACCTCCCGAAAAGCACGGACACGTGTCGCAACCCAGCATCCGGGGGGCACCGCCAGTCAGCACTCAGCCTCACCTTGGCCCATCTGCATCCGCGAGGCGAAAAAGGAAGGTCACGATACTTTCTCGGTGGTGTTGCGGCTCCTAGCGCTGGGAAGCACCATGTCAGCTGAGCCCGTCTAGACCCCCCGTGACTCTGGGTGGCGCACGACGCACGTACAGCCGGACGAACAGCGAAGCCGATGTTTCCATCTGCTCGCCTTGCAGCGGCATTGTAGTAGGCAAGCTCCGACGGCCTTAGTGGAAACGGAATGTCTATCCCGTAGCGCTAGCTTGCCGGTGTGATCGTCTCAGAGCTAGATGAACTTCGTGGAAGCGAGCTTGTGTCAGGGGTCTCCGAGATCTTTTGCGGGGTAGCGTATTTCCTTAGCTCATAGAATCCGAGAAAGGAAATTAGGGGTGCTCAGAGGCACAGGCAGTATAGCGATCGGTCTGTTGTACTTTGCTTGCGTACAGCACCTGTCTAACATACTTGAGGTACCCCGTGGTTGTATCGTCATCATTAACGTCACTCTAATCAGTGTCAGCATCTCATAACGCTAATTTACATGTGCTGTTTGGGGATCGCTGTGTAGTGTGCTCGGCTCAAGTGGTGAGCTAGAGTAGTTCCCGTAACGGTGTTTGCATTCTTGGTTGTGGAGAAGTTGCATAGCGGGGAAGTTTCGAAGACGTAAGATATTACCAAATAAAGTCCAGTCGAACACGATGGTGAGAGGCCTAAGCTCCTACTCATGCAGCAGACCGGAAAATACGTGTCACCAAGAGGAGGAGCCCATGCATTGTGAAGATTTTGCAGATCCACTCCCAGCGTGTGGTGTTTGTGTTTGGTGAATGGTCATGGCATGAGTTTTGCGTAGGTTGCACAACGTGCGCTGCATTATTGGAAAGAGAGACAGAGAGAGCGAACGAGAAGGCTCAATACGTTCTGGACATCATCGTGATCATGGTTGACAGGGTATTGCAAGGCTGGTCGTGTATGGTGCCGTGATGCGTCAGACGTTGGCAGTTTGACGACAGAAGGTGCGAGACATGACATAGATGGCGACACCCGCAGCCGCAACCGTCCAGCAGCCGTCTGGAGAAGCGGAGATGGTGGAAGTGATCAATGCGTCGGATGTAATATGTCAAAGCAAGCCACAATGCTCACAGTCAATGCTCTTGTGTCGTGAGATGATGCGTGAAGACGGCGTTACGACGACGCGACGGACGCGACAGCGTGGAAGCAACGGAGGTTGGACTCGGATTGACCCAGCAGAAAGGCGCCATGCAGGCACGGGGATTGTGAAAGATGGTCGGAGGGTCTCGTCAGAGATTTCCATGTGTCATTGGTGGTCAGGTGGCCTGCGGATTGAATTTCCTGGGGGTAATCGAAACGCCAGCCACGAGCCACGTGAAGCCAATTTTCTGCTTTGAATCGCCGCCCCAGCAAACCCGAGCTCGCCAAGCCACCGTGACGTAAAGAGAACCTAACCTCACAAGCACTTTCCACTGCAAAACTATACGCTTGCAATGTGCTGCTAATCACCCTATTGGCTCGCCTATGCTGAGAATTGATCCTTCTAGCTCAAGGGCCATGTCGGTCCAGCGTCCGAGTCGTTGGCGCTTGTGCATGGAGCTGGGGAAGACACAAGACGTCTGACTAACAATGAACCATGGTGCTCTTTGTCAAGAATAAATCTCTGCCCTCGACTATAAGAGTCCTAGGAGCCTTGCGAGATTCACTCTAGAAACCACGCCCGACTAACACGACTTTCCACCTGCGCCACCTACATACCTAGACACCATCTACTACCATCAACAACAACATCCAGACACGAGTCACCCTACCGTCACACCGCTGCCAAACATTCAATGAACATCAACGACTTCCCCTACGAAGTCCTTACCCAGATCCTCGAGGAGGTTACCAAGGCCAATATACGTGATGGTCCCACGTATACATTCGGTCTCCAGCAAGCACCACTGCCTCTCGAGAGGGCCAAGCTCCAGCGCTATGTGAGAGGCCCGGTTCCGCCAGAGCTCCTCAAGTGGGACGCGACTGCGACGCTGCGATCAGTCTGCTGGAAGTGGCACGAGTGGGCTCTGGAGCACTCCATCAAGGATGTCTATATCCGCCGCTGGAAGGGAGGAGAAGTAAGCACACGTTTGTTACTTACCATAAGCATCATGCTAACGAACATCAGCGATGGGCCGAGCTGTCCAACAGGCGAGAGAGCTACCCACTCTACGAACTCATTGACCGCCCGACTGGCACGGCTGTGTACCGCGACCCTTTCGCCTCACTCAAGCGGACGGTGAGCATCTGCAACGACTACCCAGAGGTGGCCGCCAAGGTTAGACGCATGTGGGTGCACGGTTTCTACACCGCCGAGACCGATCGTCTAGTGTTCCAATCGCTCAAGAACTGTACCAACATCACTTCGCTTTCTCTTCCTTGGACCACTATCCGTCACGTGGACGCCAAGGCCTGGCGGACTGTCCTCACTGGTACGGGTAAGCCACTGCAGTCGCTGGAACTCCAATGTGTCGACCCTACTTCGCAACAAGCAGCGGACAAGGACAATCTCGTTGATCTGGAGCCACTGCAGTCGGTCAACTTCAGCCAGCTGCGACGTCTGAAGATCTTTGGTGACACTAGCTTCATGCCCATCACCGACAACGATCTCTTCGCCATTGCTCGCACTGCGACACAGCTGGAGGAATTTCATCTGACGTGCAACTCTTCCATCACTATCGACGGTGTCATGGCCATTGTCAAGGCGTCTCGCAAGACTCTCCGAGTGCTTGAGCACAGCCCGCGGTCACAGGATGGCTTCTGGCACCCACATCCGGGATCTCCGAGCGACTGCGAGCATCTGTGCGACACTTTCCGAAACTGCCCTAAGCTCGAGACTCTTTCCATCTCGCTTCCTTCTGTATGCTCCCATCTCTTCTCCAACGACGATGCAAAGTTTGCCGGCGACCTGCAGGTACGTGCTTTGCACTTGTGTGAGCACGAGGACGGTCGCTCCACTCAGGAGGCCACCGACGCCCTGCAGAAGCTACTGGAGCAAGCCCGTCGCTTCATCCGCCTTCGCGCGGAGAGCGCCATCCCTCGCGATTTGTACGTCGAGCTCTTCTTTGCAGAGTGCATCTTCGAGCCCGGTTTCCAATCCGTGCATGGCGACTTTTCCCTGGCGCAGATCTCGTCCGATGGGCACTGGCCACAGAACGTCGACTTCAGCGGCAAGGGACCATATGGCAGCACCGGTCTATACGGAAAAGAAGAAGAGGCGCAATTTCAGCGCATCGACGAGGCCGAATTTTTGGCTGGTGTTCGTAGGAGGCTCCTCTCCATTCAAACTTGATTGCGACAAATAACGGCCGAAACTTCACTTCAACTTGTAAACCTTCATCACCAACCTTTTTACTTACGAAATTACGACCACATGCATGAGCGACAGGCCTGGAGCCAGAAAGATACCAGGCTGGAGCAGCCACATTGTTTTCATGCATTTGGGGAACTTCATAAACGAGAACAAGGCCATATCTCGAAAAGCGACTACTGTGTATTTTCCCGTTGGGATGGCGGGGTGTCATTTTTGTTTTTTTTTTCTCTTTGCATCTTGTTAGCATTTTAGCGTATGTACTTCAACCAACATATTGAATCAACTTGGCACACTCATCTGGCGTCGTCTCATGGCTCATCTGTTCTGCATTCATACTTGCGCATACACCACCATGGCCGGTGGGTGAGCAAACAACACGAACAACGCGCGACAAAGAAACTTCGCGAAGCCTCTGCTCTAAATTTGCCAAACGGCTCCTCCGCTTGGCGATCATCAACAACATCCACCCCGCACCTGCAGCCCACGCACCCACACTCTCCCAAAGCGGACAAGCCCAAGGTACATTTCCGCAGTGTCTGCTTACACACCGCATAGTCATTCCCTCACAGCAGCTAGCTGTACTCCGGATGTCAACCTCTTTCTCTATCCGAGCTTATCAACCTTACCTAAGCGGCTACGCCGTGCTAACCACTCAAACGTGGTAAGCACCAGATCTGGCACGGCACGCCGAACGCCGACCGATATGCTTGCTGAATAAGAGGGCGGAAGAAGACCGCACTAAACCAAGTCGTACGCCGGACCCGGGGGCTCTGTTGAGAGAAAGCAGAGAGTGGCAGGTTTGCCGGAAGGCTGTAACAAGAAAAATGCCGGTGGGAAAGTCCAGCATGATCGTATTTTGCCAGCGAAGTGCAAAAAAAACCCATTGGCAATCACTTACCAAAGACTCATGTAATCGTTGGAAATGATCCATGACGCTACTGCATCGGGGGTATATGTGGGGCGCTAGCCGTGCGGCCATGCTCCATGCAGGATAGCGATGCGGCTATGAGGGGCAGAATGGCGCAAAGCTGTTGGTAACTGCTATGCAAGCAAGCTTAGCTACCCAGCTGGCCCTATGAGGTGGTCTCGGTGCTATGGGACCGGTGTATGGCATGATGTATTTCGAGATGCTGGAGATCGGGGCCAGGGGCAAGATAGGATAAACCGACAGGGTCCATCTGTGTGGTAGCTGGTGTCAAGTATAAGAAGAAGAGACCACCCCACCCCTCGAGAGCTCTCCAGTTTACCTCCTTATCCTCAACACACACGTCCTACTTCACTTGCTCTCCGTTGACTTTGTTTGATACCCCAATTCGTTCAAGATGGCTCCCAAGATCGCGATTGTGTACTACTCCATGTACGGCCACATCAAGAAGATGGTACGTTGATCCTGTTGTGTTGTCCTGTGGAAGTTGCTGTCTACCCAACGGCCCCCCGCATGATTCTCCTCTCCAGTCTCTCAACTGAGATCCTCTGCTAACATGGTTACAAACAGGCCGATGCTGAGTTGAAGGGTATCCAAGAGGCTGGCGGTGATGCCAAGCTCTTCCAGTATGTGACCTCTATCCAACACACCCAACACCATGATCCCAAGCTCGCAATCGTTCCCACAGCCGCTCACATCTTCACCAAACGAGCCTCCCCCCTTTCCATCCCATCTCAAGAGCATTCACTAACATGACAACCACAGAGTCGCCGAGACCCTTCCTCAGGAAGTCCTCGACAAGATGTACGCGCCCCCCAAGGACTCATCGGTCCCCGTCCTCGAGGACCCAGCTGTCCTCGAAGAATTTGACGGCATCCTTTTCGGCATCCCCACCCGCTACGGCAACTTCCCCGCACAATTCAAGACCTTCTGGGACAAGACAGGCAAGCAATGGCAACAAGGCGCCTTTTGGGGAAAGTACGCCGGTGTCTTCGTTTCGACGGGCACCCTGGGCGGTGGCCAGGAGACGACTGCCATTACCAGCATGAGCACGCTTGTGCACCACGGTTTCATCTACGTTCCCCTGGGCTACAAGACTGCGTTTAGCATGTTGGCCAACTTGGAGGAGGTCCACGGTGGAAGCCCATGGGGTGCTGGTACCTTCTCTGCCGGCGATGGATCGAGGCAGCCCAGTGAGCTTGAGCTGAACATTGCGCAGGCTCAGGGTAAGGCTTTCTACGAGGCTGTTGCCAAGGCGCATCAGTGACTAGATGATGGAAAGACTGCTGGTCGTGTTGCTGAGAACAAGACGGTGGAGAATGGGAATGGAGCAACGACAAATGGTAGCACTGCTACTGCCGCTCCTACTTCTACTACTGCTCCTGCTGCGTCTTCTTCGCAACCCCAGCAGAAGACGGAAGAGGACAAGGATAAAGAGGGCGGTCCGTGTGGATTGCCTGCAAAGTGCGATATCATGTAGACTTTAGCCCTTCTTTTCTCACCTCTTCTTTTCTACTTGTGGAGATTTTGCGATGAAATGAAACGAAATGAAATAATTTAGCCATCATAACTACACTCGAGTCTCCGAACTGTACTGATGAAAAATATGTGTGTCAATCCTGATTGATAGAACTGGGCCAAGCTGAAAAGAAAGAAAGAAAGAAAGACATTGGGTATCATTATTTCCACAGCTAACACTCTAACACAGAATCCATAAATCTGGATGAAAAGAAAAATATTCTCCATAAGGAAAAAAGAGTTCCATCAAACCCTTATTCCAAAAGGAAACTCCATCTACACCAAGAAAGAAACAATCCCAAGGTCCTCAATCCCTATTCGCTATCGATCCTTGTTCCCCGCATCATCACCCACCCTTGTTCCCCTGCCCCTCCTCCTTCCCCCCTGGAACATGATCATGAACGAAGCCATCCACCCAATCCTTGACCCCATCAGCTTTATGCGTCAACCACTCCCACCAACTCTCCTTTTCCTTCTCCGCCCCTTCGCTCGCTTCCTTGTCGCCTTCCTTATTCTTGAGTTCGTCTTTACTTCCATCTGCCGGAGTGGGCCGGGCCGGTACTACTGGGTCGTGAAGCGAAGGAGAAGTATCTTCCATTCCGGACGCGGATGCTGCAATGGAGGATAAGGAGTTCAAGTCCATGGACGCGAGATCTGTCGACGAAGACGAAGAAGAAGAAGAGGGAATAGTGTAAGCAGGAACGGGGTCCTCGGGTGTGTGATTCTCATTCCCAGGCGCATCTTCGTCGTCGTCGTGCAACCCGACTGGTTTCAACGGCAGACGCAACGTCCCATTATTCGGCGCGGGCTCGAGGCCCAACGTATCGCAAACAATGTTATACAATTCGATATTCTGAAACGGATCCATTCTGCTCCCCGGCGTGTGCGGGAAAGCCGGGCCCCGAGCAATAAACACGGCTCTCATCAACGGGTGTTCAAAATCGTATCCGTGCAGACCCCTCGGATGGTATACTTGGCCCTTCTTCTTGCCCGCTTCGACGTCGAATTCGTCCCGCGTGACAATCGCCCAACCCGTCTTGGGCACGATCCAGAGAGGCGCGATGCGCTTGTTGCGACTAAAGTGGTACCGCTCCGGCATATTCTCGTCTCTCAAGTAAACGTCCACGTTAGGATTCTCCCTTGTGCGTTGTTTGATCTGGTTGTAAAGCCGGTGTAGAGAATCCGGATCTCTAGGGCGTAAACCGTAGAGCGGCCAGCCATCCGTATGTTCGAGTTCCTTGGTATCGACCAAGTCTTCGAGCTGAATCAGTCTCGTCACGTCCGTGGTAGCCATGCCGTGGTCGCTCACGACGATGACGTTTACAATGTTGGTCAGGTTGCGTGCTTGCAGACCAGACAGGATACCTCCCACCATGGCATCGGCGCTTGCAATCGTTTTGCGGATCTCGGTGCTGTTGGGGCCGTAGCGGTGACCGTCGCCGTCGACGTCGGGGACGTACGCTGCGATGAGCTGGGGCCTGGGCGCATTTGCTTTGGCGCCCACGTCTCTGGGGCCAGGGGTGTCGAGGAGCGACATGATGCGGTCGACCTTGCTAGCAAGCACTTCGGAGCCGTTGTACTTGTCAACGTAAGCAATCTCCTGATGCAGGATATCGGCTTCGGAACCGGGCCACATGTGCACCGCCGTCCGTACACCTTGTTTCTCGGCCGTCACCCAGAGGGGTTCGCCGCCCCACCAGTGCGCTTGCAGGCTGCGGTCTGGGTCTGTGTAGTAGAACTCTTGCTGTAGTTCAGGGTCCCAGAACGTGTTTCCTACCACGCCGTGTGCTTCGGGGTACATGCCCGTGGCCATTGTGTAGTGGTTTGGGAACGTGACGCTGGGGAAGCTGGGCATCATGTACTTTGGCGAGATGCCTTCTTGGACGAATTGGTTCAGCGTGGGTGTCAGGTTTCTGAACAGAAAGTCGGCGCGGAAGCCGTCGAGGGAAATGAGAATCGTGGTCGGAGCGAAGAGCGAGGTGCCGTTTGATACCAGGGTTACTGCGCCCTTGACGTCTTTTGGGGTGGACAGATTGTACGTAGCTGCGAGGAGGACAACGAAGAGAACGATGATGGATACGTAGATGGCCATGCGTCGGCATAGGCTTTTCCTGCGTGTCTGTAGCAAGTATTAGCTTTTTTCATCTGCGCATTCGCAGACTTTACATACCTTTCTCTGCAGCTCGCTCGCAAGTAAACGCTGTTCATCGCTTTGGGAACTTCTCCTTGACCGGAAACTGGTACTCGATGCGCCAATACCCTCTTCCATTTCGTACATGAGCGCACTCGCTTCTTCATTGCCGCTTTTCCTGCGCCCCTTGGTCTCGCTCTTCTTGTCCCATTTGCCGACCTTGACCCCAGAGCCTTTACGCCCTAGGATACCCTTCCCACCATCTTCGCGCGTAAGAAGCCTCTCGCGCTCATCCTCCGAGTCCAAGATATCGCGGTCGCGCTCGTCAAGGTCGCCGGACGGCCGGCCGTCGTAGGCTTCGTCGTCGGAGGTGTGGTCGTAGAGGGTGCGGTCATCGGTGCCTGCGTCGGAGCTAGCGACCCTGTGCGATTCGTTGTGCGATTGCGGTTGCGGTTGCGAAGACATGATCGCGTTCTTCGGGTGACGTTATCACATCGCTCGAAGTATCGAAAGACACGTTGCGCGCCCGCTGTGGTGCTCGATATGTTGGGGGTCAGCGACCCCAGACGTGTCTCTTGGCATCCATGTTTCACGCGTGCAGGAATGCGACGTTGGTCTCGCGTATCGACTTGATTCGGCAATGGACCCAACAATCAACAACCTCCCACTCACCCAGAGAACTGAGAACCAACAAGTTCATTCCAAGATAAACATCTGCATATGAACAAGTTCTAAAGATTGACACACATTGCTCTCTGAATATCAAAAAGACTAACCCTGACACTACACTCTACTCCATCTCAAAAACCACCCTTTCCCACGCATCAACCCATCTACACCCCATCCCTCCCACCCTCCCCTCTGAACAATCCCACAACACCAACCACATACACTCCACCAGCTCACCCCAGCAAAACCCCCTCCCCTCACCCAAATCCCCCGCCTCACCATGCTTCGCACCAACCTCGCGATGCAAGCTCGTAGCCCAACCCAGTCTACCATCCCTCAGCCGTCCACAAATTGCGTCCCAAAAGTTTTTTTGCCTCGTTGCGGGCCATTGCGAACAGTCGACGGACCACCAGCCGCGCGTATCAGGTGCCGGGGTGTGCAGTTTTTTCAGAGGTTGGAAAAGGTTGCTAGGATGCTGGGTTTTGAGTGAAGCGAGGTAAGGTGTTATTTGCGAGGGCCAGGTTAGAGGGGTGGTGATGCCGATCTTGGGTTCGGGCGCTAGGACGCTATATGGGAGTAGAGACAAGTCGATGGAGGCACCGGGGTCACAGTCGGCTTCGTGTAGGCTTTCGATCCCGTGTTGTGGTGTTGGGACTGCTGGCTTGGGCGCTTCGTCTAAGCGCAGGGCTTCCTGTTGTCTTGCAACGGTCGAGGTAGGGGCGGGAGGCGGAGTCAGGGCAACATGCGTCTTGACTGCTGCTGCTGCTGCTGCTGCTGCTGCTCCAGCTTCTTCCAGGCGTGTGCTCTTACGACGACTCGCAACTGTAGTGGGTACTTTGAAGGGGGCCGCTAGCTTTGACGCGTCGTTCAGGCGCGAGCTTCTTCGTTTTACTCTTGTGAGTAGGCTATCGAACTCCAACTCTGGACGGGCTTTTGGGTTGCCAAGCGACTTGACCTCTGCTCCTTTACTTCCCTGTAGGCGCGCACTCTTACGACGATCCACGACTGTAGCGGGTTCCTTTGGCAAGGGCGTAGGTGGAGACGGAGCAGTATCTTCTGCTATAGCAATAGGTATGGGCTCTGCTGGTGCATCGGGCGACGGAGGATCTTCTTGCGCAGCATTCTCAGCGACCAATTCGGCTTCGTCTGAATCTTCCCAAGATATCGGAGAGCTGCTCCCAGGCCCACTTTGCGGCGGTTCTTCTCTCGTGATAGCATTCATCTGTTCACTTGGCTCATCGCCGTCCAAAGGAACTTCTTGCGTAAAAATGCCAGCATATTCATCAGATTCAACATGTCTTTCGTCTATTCCGTCTGCCGAAATGTCCTCGTCAGTCATCTCAAAGCTATCCGGCATCTGACTTTGCAGCGCCGACCTTGCCTCTTGCGTATCTTCGATGAACGCCGTGTCGACATCTTCACACTCTTCCTCTTCCCCATCATACCAATCTTCTGCACCCCGCTGTCTACTAGCAGCGCTTGATTTGGGAGTCGTCGTTACTTGGGCCTTCCAATTCTGGTGGATCTCTTCTAGACGGGCAAGCCGACTAGATGGTGGAGCATGATTATCTTGTATTTGCGATAAGCCTGATGGGAAACTGCCATAAGAATCTTTACCCGTTGATAGAAACGAGGCGTCGACGTTGGAGTCGAATGAGCTACCGGGATTTAGTGCCGCCGGGTCGCTCATTCGGGAAACATCCGCATCCTGGCTAGACACATCTGCACCAGGCTGTGGTGGCCTGTCTCCATGGGTTCTGGCGGGTTCGAAGTCGAGATAAGCGTTAGCCAAGGAACGATAGAGTTGGTCGTTTTGACGGGTAACGGGTGCGGAGATGTGAACCAAAAGTTCGTGCTCATGGACCATAATTGATTGCAAGCAAGTAGAGGTAATGGTGTTCAATATCCATCATCGTAGAACATGTGGAGCCGATCCAAAAGAAAGCCCGCACGAATCGTCGTTACATGGAAGGACAGTAGAAGTCAAGTGTTGACGTGAGCAAGGGTTCAGTCTAGCAATCTCCGACGCCACTACTTGGCAGCTGCATTCGGTCTGTGCACGATCTTAATGCCATACTATCAGATGTGATCATACCTTCCAAATCGAATGTGACAGCGTATCATACAGAAAATAATCTCCTGGATCAGGATATGATGTTTATATCACAGACGGAATTACTCATTCAGCTCAAGGACAGCATTTGTCCAGCATCGTCATTCAATGGTATGTCGTCTATCATGTAAACCATCCCTACAGAGTTATCGCTGAGAAAAAGAATTCGAACCACACCACTTTTGATTTCCCTTTTTTGAGAAAACTACTCCTCATCCTCCTCAACCGCCTGCATCTCCTCAACATCCTCCTCCTCAAAGGTGTGCATGGGCACGGAGTAGAGGCGGAGAAGGGACTTGTTGGGGTCCTTGACAAGGACGTATTTGCCTTCGTCCATGCGAAGTACCATGTCAACAATAGTGCGCACAATAGCCCAGCCGTTGTTGAGGTTCAGTGCCATCTGAGCGGCAAAGTCACGGGGCTTGGCGGTAAGGACACCGAGGATGACGTGATCGTTGTTGTTCTTGGGGTTGGTACGGGATACGAAACTGTTATCATGTTAGTCGGGATCAATGCGAAATGATGGAAATGCATACCCAAGCTTCATGGTGTCGGCCTTGGCCAAGATACTCTGTACAGTCCAGCGAGCAAGCTTGCAGGAGTTGTTCTTCATCTCAGTGGCGAGGACAGCACCACGCTGGCTGGCGAGCTTCGACCTCCAGTCGAGCGCACCACCGGCTCCTTGTGCCTTGTTGTCGAACTCGTTCAGGGCCTTGATGGTCAGGTACTGGTCCTCACCGTTGATGTTGTTCTTGACAACAGCGTCGAGCTCTGTTCGGACAACAAGGTGCAGAGGCTCCTCATCCTTGTCGAGCGACAAATCGAAGCGGCGGTACCTGTATGCCTTGGACGCTGGCGGGTCGGTCTCGACCTCCTCGTTGTAGAAGGGATGCTCGTGGGGCATGTTGATCTTTTGCGTCTCGGACTCGGAAACGACCTGCAGAGGGAAGATGTTGTTGATGTGGGTGGCTTCCAGCATGAGGGCGCCGGGGCTGTTGATGGAGTCCTTGTTGCCCTCGGAAATTTCGAGGGGCGCGTCGGCGGCGTTCTCGTTGACGGTGACCATGTCCAGACTTGAGCCATCGCGCTTGTCAATGAAGACCTTGTTGCCGCGCTTGGTGAAGACCAAGTCCCATGAGTAGACGGACTTGGTGGCGCACATGAGCATGGACAGGACGCCGTCGGTAGCGAATACCGTCGCCTCGTCCTTGTCGGCAAGCTCTTGCAGGATGGGATCGCTGGACGTGGTGACATTGTAGGCGGCGCGGTCGAGGACGTTGAGTTTGCGCTCCGAGGTCCTCGCGCCGGGCTGCTTGTCGTAGCTGCGGTCGTAGTAGTAGAGGAAACCGTAGTTGTCGATGTCCTCGCCTTCGTGGGTATCCAGGTTAAGCTTGCTGAGACGGGAGAAGTCAATCTCCTCCATGACGTTCCACTCGGGCTTGACCTGCACCGAGGCATCGCGGTTGCGCTGGGGCTTGTCGTCCCTCCAGCCGAAACGGCGTCCTCCCCTGCCTCCACGTCCACCGCGCTGGTTGTCGTACTGGTTTCCGCCACGGCCGCCAACACGCTGGAAGGTGCCCCGCCCTCCGCGTTGCGCCTGCCCGCCTCGCGCTCCTCCTCGTCCACGGAAGACGGTACCGCCGCCTCGTCCGAAACCTCGGCCGCGGGCTGATGTGCGTGTGTTGTCGACGACGGAGAAGGTGGCCTCCTCCTCGGCGGCCTGGATGGCGAAGGGGTTGGTCTGCTGGTTCGCGCCGTATACCTGCTGGTCTGTGAAGCGTCAGTTCGCTGCTCTTTCTTTTTTCTTTGTAGTATAAATCCAGCCATACCCCGGTAGTTGCGGTTGCCGTACTGTTGGCGTCCTCCCCGCTCGCGGTCCTTGCCCTCAGTCCAGTCGGCCATGCGACCCAACTTGTCCGCCTTGGAGTAGGGCGCAAACGGCACGCCATCGAGCATCGACTCGGAAGTGACTGGCGGGCCCCATCCTGCAGTGTCGGGCAGCGCGGACACGAGGTCCAGTAGTGATGCGGGTGCCATTTTGTGTTAGTGACTGTAGGTGGTTGTTGCCGCACAGAAATTATGTGGGCAGTCAAAGTTGGCGCTAACGAAACGAAATTCCTACCCCGCGGGCAACTTCACCCAACTACCACACTCACTCGACAGCGCTCCAGATCCCACGAAAAGCTTGCTTCGTCAATTGATGCTCCATAACGCAATACTCTCCCCAGCCTAGTGATATGCGCTTCCTCTTTCTAACATCAGATCGTTCCTAGAACAATTCCAAGAATACTGAACAGCAGGGGCAATAATGGTGCACACTGCGAGAATGTGCTTGTTGCGTTTATCTCGACATCATCTACAGACGCATGCGCGCTACATCCTGCCCAGGGTCTAACTCTAACTAGCTATGTCACGCCCTCCAACCCCAGTATAGGGCCGCAGCTGCATAGACCTGTGAGCCTATCGTTGCAAAGCTCCCACCCTCTCAAGCCCTCACCGGTCTCTATTAACCGGTGAATGGAAAAGCAGAAGAACAAGTTCCCATCCTCCCAAGCATGCTCGCATAGCTTTCAGCTTCTTCCCCGTATCTGCAATTCCGTTCAATATCTCTTCAAATTCACGAACCTCGAAGTGTTCTTGCTTCGTTTCTTGTTTAATCTCCCTCTACACAACATGCGATACGAGCCCCTCGTCAAGTCGAAGAACGAAATTCGCGTTCTGAGGTTTCTGGGTCCTTTCCGTTCTATTTCGGCTGAGGAATCTATTGAATGCACGATCGAGCATGTTCCGCTGGAAGAAGGTCCTTTTGACTCCCAATCGGATCAAAGCTACACGCCAACCCAAAAGTACCCAATAATGCGGGACAAATTTACGAAATGCGTGGATCTACGAGATGCGGCTATAGAGGAATTGACAGTCGAGAAGGCCATATATACGGGCCCCAATCAGGCTTACAGTCAACCCAGCAAATCTCGTTTTGTCTGGGGAGATTTCGAAGCTTTGTCATACACCTGGGGTGAACGAGGTGATGTAAAGAGCATCGTCGTGAACGGAATGCACAAAGACGTTCCGAAGAATCTCGAGGTAGCGTTGAGAGCTTTGCGAGATCTGCGTGAGACGCGTCTGGGTATGCGTCATTGGGTAGATTCATTGTGCATTAACCAGGAAGATGAAGAAGAGCGCAGCGAACAAGTCAAGCGTATGAAAGCAATCTACGGTCGAGCCAGGGCGGTTATAGTCTGGTTAGGCCAGGAAGAAAAAACCGACAAGGTTGCAGTTCAGACGATGCAACACCTTTGTTTGGATCCGTATTTGAAGAATCCACTTATGCTGCCAAAGGATTTGCTGACTGATGGATGGTCCGCTCTTTTCGCCTTTGCACAAAAGCCTTATTGGAATCGAGCGTGGATCATCCAGGAGCTCGCTATGAACCACAATTCGACGTTGATATTGTGCGGAGAATTTCGATTGACGAGAAGAATGATACGCCTAGGTGCTGACTACTTTCAAAAGTCGCTAAAAGCCTTCCAAGACCGATCCTATCAATCTGGCAATGTCTTGGGCCTAGATGTATGGTCCATTGTCAGTCGCATATACCGCCTAGCAAATCTTGTTTACAACCCGGATCTCAAAGAAAGCCTGACTGCGTTGCTGAACCTTGTCCGCGGGGCCAAGGCAACCGATGCAAGAGACAAGGTTTATGGTATACTTGGGTTGTTGGATCCTGCCATCTCCGCAGATCTCGCTCCAGATTACTCGCTCTCCGACCAGGAGGTCTATAAAAACTTTATGAAATCTGTTATCAAAAGATCGGGACGGTTGGATGAAATTGCATATGTAGGTACCCACATAGAGAAGGCATGGCCGTCGTGGGTCCCCGACTGGAGATTACCATTCGGTCGCCACCACATCCAGTATCTGAGATCCCGTTCGGCGAGTGGGAATGAAGCCATGAAAGTTCGATTCGTTGAGCAAGGCAAAAACAGTACACTTCTTGTTTGCAGTGGATTGCAAGTGGACATAGTCGATGGTACTGCAGCCGAACCTCCCCTACATCGTTCTACTCAATCACGCTACACCTTGAATAGATATGGCAGTCGCAAATCCGAAGCACTCCAGCAGACCTTGCTTATGGGCCACTCTAAAGCTACTCCAGGCACAATTATGGGCTATCCTAAAGCGACTACAGGCGTACTCAAGCCTGGTGTGATTCGAGATGTACTTCTCAAAGTACCTTGGCCATTAGAATATAGTTCATCGCCACGACGGCCAAAGATCTGTCAGTCAAACTACTTTCAAAGGTTTGATAAGTTCAGAAAACACAATCGAGGCTTCCGTATCGGAGGCCAGAGTTTCGAAAGCTTCTTCCCAACGGCTCATAACAAAGATTTAGAAGTAGAGCTTACGCTACGTCATTCGCGCTTGGCTATGCTGTCTTTGGAACAAAGAGCTCTCATAACAACGGAAACTGGTTATTTGGGACTGGCCCCTACAGCTGTTCGCCAAGGAGATGTCGTTGCTATCTTATTTGGCTGTAGGTTTCCTATGGTCTTGAGGCCCTACCTTGATGACATGTATCAAGTCATCGGAGAATGCTACATCCACGAACTCATGGATGGGGAAATTTTGAGTCAGGAGCGTGACGGCCATGTTTCAGCGCGGGAATTTGTCCTGTGTTAGTTGGGCTTTTGTTTATGCCCAGGTTTTATGAGCTTCTATTCATTCTAAAATAGTCTTTCTTTACTTCCTCTCCTTCTTTATGACATTTTGAAGGGAAAGCATGCTAACTACTACTCTCCTTTCTTCCTGAATAGTCCCACTTCATCGACTGTACCGAAACCAGCTCTTTGCACTACTGAAACATTGTTCTCGCACCGCTCCATCCCAGACGTAGTAACGAAACCTGACTGTGACCTGTTGTCTTCCTGTACATCTGCATGCTCTTCATGTCCGCTTAGGAGCGTGTCGGTCTCCTTCTGGTCATCTCCGCTGACTCCAATTAGCTCTCCAAATCTGACTTCCATTTCCCGGAGTTCTTCTGAAACATTTTCGTATCCGCCTAGTGTGCCAAAGCCTTTCGTAACTACCGCTTCAAGTGAGGTGTGTCCAGTAGTCGTCATAAGAAGCTGCAGAAAGCCTCCACTGATGGCCGAAACACCGTGATTCTGAACGTAGAGAGCTATGAATCCTAGCACTAGGATCGGTATGGCGAGTGCAAGTGATAAACCGTATGGCAAGATTAAGACGAGCTTGTTCTCGAAGCGATAGGCATTGAAATTGAGGGTCTCTGTTCCCTTGACAATTTTGAATCGCTTGTTGAGAGCCAATGCAGAGATCGTGATATTGATGAGAAGCTCATTGGCCATGTCGGAATCAAATGCTGGACATGCATGTCCCATTTCTCCCCCATGGATTCGCTGCTCGAAGACACCGAGTTGCCAGATCTCTTGTAGCAGATTCTCGCCACCCACCGGCGTCGTCTGTCCAGAGGTGTTCCCTTCCAGCACGCATGCTTCAACGACGGTGCCATTTCCAATTGTGTAAGGCATCTTCACATTCGTCGTGCTGAAGTTCTGAATTTGATAACTTTTGAAAGTGGTACCAAACTGGTCAAAACTTCTCGCAAAATCGTCATATATCAATGCAGCATCAGAGAGTTGTGCCCATTGCTCAAAAGTTCCGCCAGTGAAGTCGTCAAAACTTGTATTATATGCTGGTACAGGTACCACGTCTTCGATCGAATAAGAGACATGCTGTGGTTCTCCGAGATTTGATATAGTGACGTGATAACTCACTATCTTTGGACGGCAAACTGTTTCTGTTACAGGAACAATGACATTTATTCCGGAGCCTGGGAAGTCGATAGAATCCGATTCAGTGACATCAATTTCCGAGTCATTGATATGAGGTATCCATCCGTCTAAGCATGGCCAATACTGAGGCGCATCTGGGTAATAAGCCTGGCGGTAGATGATGGATGTATTTCCTGAGAAGCGGACTGACTCTTCGTTGTACTTTAACACACAGTCAGGCTCAGGATATTCGATGTTCCAGATCCGCTCGCTCGTATTCGGAGAATTCCAAATCCTACTCGACTGCAAGACTATGCTTTCCATGGAGCGATTCACAGTCTGGCAGTCCAAGGTGGTTCCAAAGAACTCGAGCGCATACGATGAGTTCTCTTTACTTGCTGGCTGCAGCCTGGACATCTCGCCCACGATCAGGTTTGAGCGTGCAGTAAACATCATATCAGGTCTCAAACTGTAGCATAATCAGTACATACTAGGTATAGCCTTGATAGTACTGTGATCTAGATGCGATGAGGTGGACTAACCGATATGCAGAACAATTTTCGAACAACGACTCATTCCCTGTCGCTTCCGGAAATGGTGGAGGACCCGAATCACAATCATAATCACCTGAACAGTTATAAGAACAAAATATCTCAGCTAAAGTATTGCCGTTCGAGATGTCCAGAAGATCCCCGTGGAATGCTGACACATTGAAATCTTTGTCGATTGAAGAAGGCTGTATCTCAACCACTAGGGTACCTGGAGGGTATAATGTCGCAATTGGCACAAGCCAGCAAGAGATGGCAACAACTACGAGTATCGGCGTTTTGAAGTACAATTGGTAGTTCAAGAAGTGGAGCGGATTTGTCTGCACTTGGAAAAGATCCTCGATCAGGCTGACCTAAACATTGTAAGCCTGCGTTTTCTCAGTTATACCGAGAAGAACAGCACCTTAAGCACACGCTTTCTGAACGTCGCCCAAAGATGTTGCGTATAGCATGTCCCAATACTCGCTACTAGTGCGGCACGAAATGCGGTGACTAGTACTAGCGATACTGTAGTAGCGTAGGCTTGTGGAACCGTAGTGGTTTTCGTGGAGAGCGTATAGCCTGGAGAGATGATACGACCGTCGAGATATGCGAAAAAGCAGTAATGCGTAGCTGCACAGAGGAACGCTGACAGGGCTTTATTAGTACTGCCAATAGGCGAACGTACGGTCTTACTTGGTATTCTTACATATGAAGTAAAAGCCTAATATTGTGGCTGGTATCCTCCAAGTCTGTCTCGACCCCCAGACCCTTCCCAGTAAGGAGAGAGATGGGTGCTTGGCTGTGGAATCAGTTCGTTTGGAAGATGCAGATCGTCTCAATATCTCTGAACATGCGTCTGAAGCAGGGGACGGAGTGGGAGCAAGGACTTGATCGCGATCTGGATGAAGAACTGGATTCATGCTGGAGTGTGACGAGATTAATTCACCGTGCGATCTCGTCGTAGCCTCTTCTGGTACATGGGGCTCAACTTGATCGAGTTGTCGTCCGCTTGCGGTCGTGCCTTGGGGCGAGGAAATCGTATGCTGATGCATTATGTACGGCTCATAGATATTTGGGTATCTCCAGGAGGTCGAAAAACAGCTTTTACGAGGAGAAGAGAGTATTTAGAGTGGATTGTTGATTAGGGTTAAGCGATACACAAGGTGATCAGGCTGAGGTGGAGGCCGGCCAACGATTCGGCGCCACATTCTTGAGTGCATGAAGGATTCAACTGTTGAAATCCAAAATTCAATCGAGACTTTCGAAACAACGCCGATCCTACATTTCACGAAAGCCTTCTCGCCAGACTGGCTGTCTGTCAGACAGACTCCTGCCACCACGGATGCGCCAAAACTTCGTCTATCGTTGACCTAGCCCGCGGTTCAATCTTCGTCGTTTCAGAGATCATCTTTTGTGCTTCGGAGCCCAGTAATTGTCCCCACACCTCAAAGCTCATAAATGGCCTCTCTTCCAAATCTGCCTCAGCTAATTCATTCATTTTCTCCAAAACCTTTGTCCAATCTTCGTCGTCGATCCGGTTGAGAAGCCTTTCGTTCGGTGGCCCAAAGAACGTGAAATGTCGCAGTAACACTCTTTGCTCTGGGTACATGCTTTTCTTGACGACCTCGCTGTCTTTGTTTACAAGTATCGCGTCCTCTTGCCCTAGGGTGTATATGCACTGTGCTAACGCTTAGCGTAAGTTCTGAGATAATGATGCATGAAAATAGCTTGGCAAACTCACAACCAGTCCGAAGGAGAAAACGTCCGATGCCTTGGACATGCCTCTCCCAGTCTATGCTTCTGGACTGTGCCACATGTGGTTTCCTACTGCATGACGGCCGGTAATCACCGCGTTTGTCGGACACTTCAAAGCAATGTCGAAGTCACCCAAAGCGACATCGGTGATTGTCTTGGTACCCTCTTCATCGCAAGTCCAGTTGGCCAGTATATTGTCGGGCTTGATATCTGCCAAGTTCGATTGTCAATCAGAATTTCGTGATGGGAGGTGTAGTCTGAATCGGACGCTGTACCGATATGAATCCAGTCCTTGCTATGTAGCTCTTGTATGGCTTCTGCTGTCTGCCGCAAGATCTTCTTCCGTGCCGCATCAGAGACCTCTGGATCCTCTTGAAGCAGTTTAAGCAGGGTATTTTGGTAGTATGGATAGATCGGAAGTTTTTCTTCATCATTAGAGTCAACATGCATGCGAAGCCGACGGGACTCGGGAAAGTCGGCAGCAAGGCGTAAGGAATCGTCATAAAATGTTTCGGAGACGCGCTTGAAGACGAAAGACTGGCCATGGGATCTAAAACCGGTTACAAGAGCAAGGATGAAGGAGATGGCAGGGACTTGAACAAGCAGATGACGGAGATATGATAGGTTTCTGGGTGTATTGACACAGCCATGCAGAGCTTCATCAGTACCAAGACGCTTGTCCTTTCTTGGTCGATGTGGGCGCTTAGGCTGACAAAAGTGGAGCGCGAAGCAACACCACTCACGATCAATACAAAAAGTCTCCAACTATTGAGACAATATCCTCTCTATGAACTTCTGATCCCCAAGTCTCTAGTCATGCTTCTTAATCGTCTAGCTCACCGCGTGTTTCCAACTTCACGTATAGGCATCAGATTGGCATCCACTATTTTAGGTAAATCGGGTCGTGAATACGTCCAGCGCGAGGTGCTCGCGGAACGCAAAGACCCTCCGTCGAGCATCTTTGAAGCTGAGTATGTTACATAAATTTCACGTCTCTAGTCTCGCTCAACAAAATTGAAGAAGATCTCTAGAATCCGAAATTTGGAGACTCAAAGACAACCTCGTACCCGATCCCTCCCTTCCTCAGCACGTCTACAAACATCTTTCGAAAAACTTCTTGCATGTGGAGGAAAGATCCCACGAAGGAGACCCCAGGCCTTACAACAATCTTCTTGAGTCCACACATCCTCGGTAGGGTAATGTCAGCCATTAGCTGCAATCCCTCCAATGTTTCAGGCACACAATTAGCCAGCGCAACCGTCTCGATAGCCTCCAAAAACTTTTGCGGCATATCCTCTGTGAATCGCTGTGTGTCATCTGGATTGATGAAGCAGAACTCGTTCAAACGAAGAATCAAGGGAGAGGCCTCTGTGTAGAATTGCCGACACACCATTGTACTGGAGATCAACTCAGACAACGGGTACAACTGGCTGTGTTTTAGGCCTCTCCAGTCTTCTGGCCATACAAGATGCACGAGGCGAGCCGATACCGCAACAACCTGAATACGCTGCACGGTGAAAGCGAAGGCGTAGATACGATTCCTAATCTCGCCGGGTAGGCGGAGAAGCGGGGACTGGAAACTGTTCGCATAGGTACTGTGTTCGTTAGTCATAGTCGGCTTGGAAGTTCTGATACTCACACGAGCTCTGCGTGAGCCGGTGACACAGGTTGAGGCAGTTGGTGAGGTAGAAGTGCAGCCATGCTTGAGTTTGTCGGCGCGACAGCTGGAACCTGGTGCAAGAAAGGTATTGTGTATTGTGTGTGTTGTAGAGAGAGAAGAAAAAGTTTAAAAGATTACGCGAGTGGTTTTCATCCAAAATGGAAGGTGAGGTGAGGTGAGCGCAAACGCACCGCTCCAAAGCCCCACACGCCGAAGGCAACACAAGGTACGACAAGAACGGATAAGACACTGCTTCATTTGCGCGCTGGTTTTTCTCTCTCACTTAGACACACTACCGCTTTCTACCTGGCGAAGACGTCTACACGCCACCTCATCGATGTAACAAGGAAAAGCGGCGAACGAATATCATCCCAGGAAGTGCTACATTTGTTGGTATCCATGTCGAAAGTCGGTAGCTTGGATGCTAACATCGTTTCCGTGTTCATATCGCTAATAAACAGAACGAGGAAACTACGTCGTTGTTACCTGCTAGATACTACAAGCAAGCTGAGTCTGTCAGAAATCATGTCAAGCAACACCAATCCCACACTCCACTCACGAAATTGAGTCCGGACCAATGACCGTACCGATAGCTATAATTTAGCTCTACTCGCCCAGCATACCCTGGCCTCTGAGAACCTCTTTGACGGCCCCCTCAATATCCTCGTCTTGTACCGATTCCAACCGCTGGTTCCAGAATCCATTCTTGCTCTCATCCCCAAGTGCTAGTCTACCAAACGCAGCCCCCCTCGTCAAATCCATAATCCCCGCAAAATCGCCGTTATCCAACCTCTTCCTCCCTTTCGCAATCACCTCCTCACAAGTAGTATAACGAACACTCCATTTCTTCCCATCGACCTTCTCAATCACCTTCAGAACATCGCGCGGAGATACCTGAAACGACATTGTGAAAACGTACTGGTTCCTCGTCTCGTCCGCATGGTCCAGAATCTTCACTACTGTTTCGCCAACAGTGGAGAGCGAGGTGAACGTACAGACGGACGTACCATTGTCGATAAGCTCCACGCTTCTACTCTTGAGATCGAATCCCAGCATCCCACTATACAGCATCCAGTCGAAGAAGCCACCGCAGATTACACTTGTCCAGCTGAGCTTTCCCTCACCCTGTCCCTCTTTGTACTTGAGGTAGTCGACAATGCCCGCACGCACAGGAAGCACAACATCGTTATATTTGACAAATTCCTCGTTCCGCGAGTTTGGCCCAAATTCACTGGGGATGAAGCGCTTAACGCCTGCCCGTATCGCGGCGTCGATGAACAAGTTCTGCGAGCTGAGGGCATGCCCGCCGATGAGAGAGATGATCGCATCCTGGCCTTTGAAGGCTGAGACAAGCGAGTTGAGTGAGATATAGTTTGCCCTGATGACGGGGACGCCCGACGGAAAGGTGGCAGAGGAGTCGTGACGCGTGAGGATCGTCAAGTTGTATTCTGGGCGCGCGGCAAAGGCGGCAAGGACAGGGGCGCCAAGGGAGCCGCCAGCGCCGATGAGGAGGACGTTTCTGTATGGTGGCATCGTGGGGATGGTCGTAGCTACTCGATAAGCGCGAGGAGTGATTTGTTTAGGGTAAGAATTGGGAGGGAGTGTTTGCTGAAGAAATGTGCTTTGACTTGCGTCTTGAAGTATACATACTAATTCAAGATTAATATACACTTCCTTTGCTATGATAAGTTAACCAGGGGGATCATCCTGGAAGACACAGATGCATACTCCAAGGCCCTTTGTTGCTTGGTAATTTTAATCGTTTAGCAACTATCGCATTCGACTTGTATAGCGCAAGTCCTAGTAGCTATCCTATTCAAGATGTCTTAGTTGAAAACTGTGCCTTACGGCCGTACTTCAATAATCCAGTCTCTTTTCTAGTAATTGACGATATGCCAAGGGAAAAACCCAAGTACACTTGGCCCGTTCTGTCGAAATTAACTTACTGGCTGGTCAAAGCGACACTAGCACCAGTGTTCTCTGTATCAGCACTCTTGTTCTGTTCACTAATCGCTTAGCTAATCTGTCTATCCACGGGTCCCGCCAGTCGTCCGTCTGCACCAATTATCTAAACATTCCACCAAATTTTTCGCGATCATCTGCACGATAGCTCTACAAGCATGCATGATCGTAGAGCAGAAGTCCTGTAGATAGCTAGTCTATTGCTGTCTACATCGAATTGTTACGTTCGAGAACACGAGAGGACTCGTAGTCATGAGGTGCCCGGTATAGGAAAAATCGGATCCTTCGTGGAACATTCAACGCAAACCCTCGTAACACCTCTGCAAAGCCCCAGAGAAAGTTTTGGAAGGTATGCGGTGTGCGCGCAAGCTGATGAAGGCACACTTGTCTGAAAATTTGGCTCGGAAGAGGGATGTATATCGGTTGATAGATACATAAGGTAGCTTTCCAACACGTTTAGGAAGCCCAGAATACAGCAGAACAAGTTTTTCTACTAAAGGTCATTCATCACCTCCAATCAATCGCTCTGTCATTTCGCCTGACCAATACACTTTCCAGCTACTATTACCATAATGTCTAAGTTCTTCATCCCACCTAAGGAAATCTCATTCCGTCTCAAAAACAAGAAGACGGAGAAGGTTCTTTTCTCCCAAGAGAAGAGCCCAGGCTTTGGCCATTTCAGCGGCGATACCTTTGCTGACCAATGGTGGTATCTTGTACCCGGAGACGGAGATTACAAAGGACAGTATCTGGTGAAGAGCAAGTTCACCGAAAACGTTCTGTTCTCCAGAACAGCGAAGAGTCCCAGAGTCGATCATCATGATGGCAATGGCAAGTGGGCAGATCAGTGGTTCAAACTAGTTCGTTGACTTTCCCGTTCGGACGAGAGAATTGATTGCTGATCATCGATGAAACAGGAGCCGGGCACGGGAGATCGCCAGAATTGGTTCCGGCTTATGAATCCTTACAGCAACACAGTTGTGGTTTCCGTCGATGGAGTCACCAATGCGAAAGCCGATGCTGCCACCGACGATAGCCAGTACTGGTCTTTCGAATTCGAAGACATGGAATTTGTTGGCCTGGACTACGATATCAACCAACAGGAGGTTTTGTCTAGCACACCTGCTGTCGTTGGTAAGCAATATTTCATTTCAAGAATGATGTTCGCACTGTCGACGGACTTCATGCAAAGCTAAGCTGCGGGGATGAGCGGAGTCTAATCTCTTCAAAAAACTCACCCTAAAGATGACTTTTCAGGAAATCATGGCTAACTGGCGATATTCTCACAGGTTCGAATTCCCAATCGAAAAGTACTGATAGCGTTCAAACAATCACGTTCACACTTACCGAGACTATGACCACTACTAGCACCTTTGAGCATTCATATGGTATAACGATCACGGGCACTGTAAGCGCCACGTTTGGCTGGCCAAGCGTCATTGAGGGTAAAGTCGAAATCTCCGTCGCTCAAACCAAGGATTTCAAGTGGGGCAAACAGAACACGGAAACCAAAACTGCCACTCTCGAGATAGCAGCGACGGCCAAACCATTTTCCAAGGTCACTGCCATAGCTACAGCAACCAAGTCTGACATTGAAGTTCCATTTACCATAACTTGGAAGTCCAAAAAGACCGGTTACCAAGTCAAGTCGAAGGGCGTGTACAAAGGCACGAGCTACTGGAACGCTAACACCAAGCTCACGCAGAGCCAGGATGTTGAAAACAGAGAACTAGACCTGGATGATGGGTCGGAAGGATGGGAAGAGGCTGAAGTGATTTCGCGCACCGAGACTACGGCTACAAACGGGGAATGCAGTCTGGACGACGAAAAACCTGAGGGCGAGAAGAAGGATTTCGTGAGGGATGCCCAGGAAGACGAGTGTGAGTTGAGTCAAGATACCTAGCGCGAATGAGCCGGACTGATCGATAACTGACTCCTTTCTTCTTCCAGACGAACATGAGCACGCGGCGTATGGCGCAGAGGGAAGGTATGCGCAGGAAGAGCCCGAGCACGAGGATTATGAGCAGGAAACCGAAGAACAGGAAACCTGGGCGTACGACACAAAGCGCAGCCAGTACGAAGAAGACAGAGACGGCGACACACGGGTTCAACGATACGGGGAAGACGATGACACTACGCGAAACGACGGCTATCGACAGGATGATCAGTATAATGGAGAGCCAGGGCAAGAGAAGAACGACGCGAACGCACCAGAAGATTTCGCATATAACGGGCGGTCTTTCGACAACGAGAGATCTTCTTACAATGGGCAACCTTACAAGGAGCGGTCTTCTTACAACGACCAGAGCTCCTACAACGACCAGAGCTCCTACAACGACCAGGACTCATACAACGATCAGAGCTTGTACAACGAAAAAGCGGCAGAAGAGTCCGAAGACGCCGAACCAGGTGAGAATGCGTATGAGCATGCGCGATACCAGTCAACCCAGAAGTATAAAGTTTTTTGGGCAGAAGAGCGGGATCTCAGTGGCTATCGTGAAAGGCAGGATGAGCAGGAGAATGGGACGGATACATACGGCGAGACGCGAGGAGCCTCACAAGAGTATGGAAGGTTCGACGAAGATGGACGCAGAGAGTTCGAGCATCCCACGCGTGAAGATGGATACCCCGAGACAAACTCACGTTCGAACTGGTAACTAGACGGTGTTTGAGGAGAGCTAGTGGAATATAATAACTTTTTTCCACTTAGAGCTTTCTATACGATACTTTGTGTACTACTACTATTTAAGTCTACTTTACTTTGGTACAGATCAAGCCTAGACAAGTATAGCCTAACCCCGTGTAACACCTAAACCTGTAACACTCTTTTCTTTCTTCTAAAAAGACGTTGTTGAAAACGCGATTAAACTAGCTCTACTATACTCGCTATGCTCTAATGATGAATGTGAAAGGAAAAGAGCCTGAATCGCAGCTGAACAAGCATAATCGTGCGATCCAAGGAAATTAATAAAGCTGTACCATGTATCCAAAAACAACAAGCTCGGGTCGTGAAAGCGTCAAACGTAAGTCTCTCTCTCTCTCTGACCAGATGAAGAGAGACCACTCGTGAGGTATTGCCGCGCTGCGCTGTGATGCTGATGAGACGTGCCGCCCAGTCTATGAGAGGGGATAAGGGGTAATCGTATCGAAACGCTTCCGTGAAGGGACAAACGAACAACATCGTCGTTTAATCAGTTCGTCCCTTACCATCCACCACATGTCCATTCTTCTGTTCCCCACTCTTGCTCGGAATCGTAAGACAATTAATACCCAAATAATCGCAGATACTCGTAATAACCAAGTGCGCCCACTTGCCATACACGACGGCGGCAAAAACAAAGTACGCACGGAGATACCACAGCTCGAACCCAGCCGAGACGGGCCCGAAGAAAGACGTTCCGGGGATGGTAAAGTACGGGTGATTGATAATCAGGGCACCACCAATCATCGGCGCGAGCATAATCGTCCAATAGGGAAACGGCTGGTGCGTCAAGTGAGCGAGGATAATCTTCGTCGTCATCCTGCCAAAGACGAGCGACATGGTCAAGCAGTACAAGACGAGGTGATTGTCCTTGAGCAAACTTGAATAAGGCGAGCCCAGCCACGCAATGGTGCACGTGACGAAGATGACGAGCGGAGTCCACTCCTTGAGTAGAGGTAACAAGGGCTGATTCCTGCTGCGTCGCGCCTTGGCTACATTGACAATGCAGGCGGGGAGGTGCGCGACGAAGAAGGTGAAGAGGATGATGGGCACCCAGAGCTCCTTGAGCGTTACGTTGCCTATCTCCGCTGCGTACGACGGGAAGTAAGTTGCGAGGGGCGTGGACCAGATTTCTGGGCCGAAGTAGCCAGACATGCAAATAAAGGTGCATGCCAGTATCAGACCCTCTGTGCATATACATCCCACCGTCAGCATAATTTCTAGTAGGAACCAAAGGAGGAAGGTGTGAAGAGGGGAGGGGAACGCACCAGTAGGTCCATTAAAGTAGCCCAAATACAGCGTATGCGTGTGGTATGTCTCCCACGTGGAGAAGAACATGGGAAGCACAGGAATCAGCGCGGTGAAGGCGCCAATCTTTGTGCTTCCATAGCCCACAGCCGCCGTCTCGAGGAGAGATGCCAAAGTGCAGTTCAAAGAGTCTATACCGTGGCTAAGTTTGCAATCAGTATCGTGATATTTTGGCGCATATGGGCTCATGATGTTTTGTTATCACGTACTCAAAAAGTTCGCCTAGGGGGCTCGATGTGCCGGTTCGACGCGCTTGCTTTCCGTCGACGTTGTCCATGGTGGAGTACATCCACATGCCAAAGGCGAAGCTGTAGTATACCCATGAGGGCGCTGGTCCGACCAAATCCGGTATGTAAACCTCGAGGAGCACCACGTTCCCCAGGATAAAAAAGAAGCCTAATAATGTGACGAGGTTCGGCGCAATCCACAGCGGCAGGAGCTCGACGAATGCATTCCACTGTGTGTCTCACGTCAGGTCCCCTATTGCCGACTGCGCGTGCGTGGAGAGGAGAGGGGTGTGCGTACGTAATGCTTGAGGATGTAGCGCGAGATGAAGGATTTATCGACGCTCGAGTATTTGTACGTGCGGAGGTGTTGCAGCGCATCTTCTGAAACGCACTCGTGCCTTGCAGTTTCTGTTCGCAATTGAATCGCATTAGCAAAGGTCGCTTGATTCGACACGAGTTGAGGCGCAAAGGGGCGTTACCTTTGCTCGGCGGCATAGTGGGTGACGTGACGGGCTGTGGTAAAGACATGGAGGTTTGTGCGGGGCGGATTAATTTATAGAAAGGGTCGTGGCCATGTGGTTGAAGCGGGGAATCGATGCGTCGCGTCTGCAGGTCGGCACCTGTCTCTTGTGGAATAGGATGGGATGAACAACGGGATGGGCGCCTGTTTGGCGGGCGTCAAACTTCTAAAGGGACGGGTCCGCCGGCTCGGTAGACAGGGATCTGGAGATTAGTTGCAGGCGCGTCATTGCGCATGTGTTTAGCTCCAATGGATCTTGCACGTGAAGATCACGCATGTCTTTACCCCGTACAAATCTAATCTGATGAGACCGCCCACCTCAAGTGCAAAGGGACTAGGCGTTGACTGACATGTAATAATGGGTTTATCATTACTCGCGACTACCAATGAACAAACGGCGTGCACTTACTCGCTCAAAAACATCAAAACATGTAGCTCAACTCTACGACACCTGCACCGCCTTCCTCTGATCCTCCTCCTTGCGCATATCCTCCAAAAACTTCTCCCACGTCTCAATAGTCCCCTGAAAGAACTCGACATGCGCATCCGCCAAATCTCCCAGTGTATCTTTAAACTCGATCGCTTTGATGCGTTCAAAGTCCGACACCTCTTTGACAGTATGCTCATCAAACGCCTCACTAGCCTTCTTAGACATCTCGACCTCGCCCGTCAGCCGCTCAATCTCAACCTCGAGCTTGCGAACCCGCTGCCGCCTTGCTTGGTCGTGATCGATGCCCCGAAAGTCTTCCACTTTGGATCGTAGGAAGCCAGATGCGCCCATACCGGCTCCTGTCGCGCTGGCCAAGGAATCTCGGTCGGCGGCTGATTTGGCCAGGTACTCGCTCAGTTGTTCGAAATCGAGTTGTTTACCCTCTCGCGTGCGGAGCAGTGTCTTGACAGCCTGGATGTAGGCGTCCATATCGCGTAGACTAGTCAGGTAGTTTTGGTCCGTATGGTCTCGGATGGACTTGAACCCCTGTGACGTGGTATTGACAGACGCAGCAAAGGATGTCAGATTGCCTTCGACTGCAGGTTCCATGGTCGTCAGCTTCTGGCACTGTGTGGCCAGATCAGCGTAATCCGTCTCCAGGTCACCCTGTCGCCTGGCCACCTTGACGGTAACCTTCTCAACGTTGTTCAGGTCCTCGCTGAGCTTGTTAGCTCGCTCGCTGACCTCGATAAAGCGCTGGTCCGGCTTGTGTATCTTGGTAAAGGTGTTGACAAAGGTGTCTGCGATGGCGTCTACGAAGCCGCCGCTGCCTTGTTCAGACCCGCTCGCAGCTCTTGATGACCTTCCCTTCATATGCTGATTCCAATCGGGACTTTCCAGGAAGTTGATGACGAGGACTGCTCTTCGTAGCACCGGGTGCAGCGCGATCCGCTTGAGGAAGCGGTGCAATGAGTGGGCTCGTCTCTGTGTAAAGTCCGGGCCGAAGCGGTCTCCACGCACATACTCCATCTTGTGCTTGTCGGGCAGCGGCGGGACGGCGCATTGCGGGTACTCTTTGGAGAGCTGTTTCCAGAGGAAGACGAAGTCTGTGAAGCGGCGACGTACGGAGAATTCGGGTTTCTGGAAGGACTGGAAGTCGGACTGCGGGGGATGTTCGTCAGACGCTGAACATGCACGGGTAGTGGAGCTGCGGGCAGAGACACACCTTTGTGGTTACCTGGTACGAGACATATTGGTTCTGAGTGCCTGCCAACTCTTTCTGCGGGCTGCCGACGAATGTCTCTAGGCGCCCTTCGCTGAAGTCGGCCGCCATTGCGTGTCTGCGGATAGCCCCGGGGTCGCGGTTGTAGACTAGGTGGTTCTTTCTAAGCTCCACAATATCGCTTATGTGATCGTATTCGGGGTCGTCAAGTATGTCGTCGAACTGGTGTTGCGGGCTGGCTGGCTGGGGTCGTGTTAAGCTCGGAGTGTTGTCGGTGACGTCGGTTGACGACCCGGCATTAGCGCCTTTGTCCAGGGCGGACGCATGATGCCTCACACCCTCATGCATGGCTTCAAAGTCCTCCGCGCTCTTATAAAGTGGGTGAGATTCCTCCATGATGGCCATTGTGCAGTGATTGTGATTTGAAAAAACGATTAATAATGTCTAGTGAGTGCACTTGACCGCCGTATATCGACGGCGGGTCAAACATGTACAGTGAATGGAGAAAGTGCGACTTGTCCAACAAACATGCGCATATGCTGTTTGCACACCGGAAATCGACGAGTATAACCACCCTGAACGAGATAAACATAGGTATCGTACGTGGCCTAACCAAAGAACCATAACCGTGACCATAACCATAACCCAGCCAAGACGTGATTGTTACATAGTACTACATCAGTCATCAGCGCCGAAGCGCTTGCCGAACTCCTCAAAAAGCTGTGGAGTAATCTCGTCGCTGCTGTTCCCATTGACCGTCCAGAGCACACCCAGCTTGTCATAATGCTCAAGCAGAGGCTCGTTGTTCTCTTTAAAACTCTTCAACCGCGCCTTCCACACCTCTGGGTCGTCGTCCGCCCTCCGGGTGAGTGGCTCACCCGTGATATCATCCTTACCGTCAACCTTGGGCGCATTGAATGTAGTGTTGTAGACACGTCCCGAGGCCTCGTGTACCCAGCGGTTACATATGCGATCAATGATGATATCACTCGGAGTGTTGAGGTTGACCACCATGTTGATGGGCACGATGTTGTCGAGCTGTATCGCCTGAACAGCGGTTCTTGGAAAGCCGTCGAGTATGAAGGAGGCGGATGGCCTGTTGGAGAAGGTGTATCGCGGAGCCCGTACCGCCGAGGGAATCATGACTGCATCTACTGTAGTCTCTGGCATATCTGTGGAGCTAAAGTTGAGCGCATATGGGCGCAGGGCATTGTCTCGTATCCACCCGCGGGTCGTGAGCTCGTTGACGATAAGGCGCAAGATCATGGCGTCGGGTACTAATTTGCCAGATTTCATTGTGTGTTCGGCTTGTATGCCTGCGCCAGTCAGTACTTCTTCGTACGACGACAACGACACACTTACCAAGGGGGGTCCGCTCCCGAACATTTTTCCTCAGCAGGTCGCCGGAGCTGATGGCCGAGAGCTCAGTGAATTTGTTCATCAAGCGCTCGGTCTGGGTGCCCTTGCCGACTCCAGGCGCGCCGACCAGTATGATTCTGGCGGCCTTGGATAATGTTTGGATAGGCATTGTTGTGGATACGCGTTGTTGCGAAGACTGGTTATAGTCGCGGGTCTAAGAATATGCCGTGGTATGGTACAGATGGGTACAGTCTCCGCCAAAGGCTCGTAGGCGTTAGAACAAATCCATGGCGAAAATTGAGTGAAATGAGGATCGGGGAATTTAGGTGTGAAGAGAAGTGACTGGAGGAAGTACGGGGTCTCCACCTAGTCAGATGGCAGAGGGACGATTTACCGTCGGATAGGCGTGGAGGTGAGGGGACGGCCCAGCATTCATGGCATTCAATTCGCAAGCCGCGCTGTCGTTCGTCCTGCGACCATCGGAGATGCGGGCACCTCGGCCAATTGACCACGACATGCCGACTTGCAAGACGACCCTTGATCGATTCCAACACTTTGCGCAATACGAGTACCCGAGGCCGGATGCTGTTGCCTGTAGCGTCCCATGGCGCGCATCTAGACAGCCATCCGGTTTGTTCCTAGCCGTGTCGACTATGCGCGTCAGTCCAATGACTTGTGCGCACCGTTGGTGGCGACCAAGCTTTACCCAGCAGATCGCCCCGGCGGTCCCTGAGACTAAGTCCGAACCGAAGACGCTGCAACGTCAGCGGAGCCCATTTTCTCAGAGCTGCATCATTCCACTCTTTGCACCAAACTGTTTCCTCTGACATCTACCATCTCTTTTCTTCCTTCCTCTGTCGACTCTGTATCACAACCACGAAACTACTTTAATTTTTGTACCATACACGTCACTCCCTACACACCACTCGGCGCCATGTACGCCGGTCGCACTGCTTCGAGGGCAGCGCCCGCAGTCTTCAGAGCGGGCATCAGGACGACTACACGACCTCATCGCCCCATGCTCAGGAACTCACCCGCCATTCGCATACTCATCCCGCTCCGCGCCTTACAAACCGAGTCGACGTCATCGAACAATGCGCAAAACTACCCGCCTCCTGGTTTCGACCCTAAGCAGGCGAGCCAGCACTTGCTCAAGCAGAATCAGCAGCAGTCAAATAAAACCGCCGAAAAACACGACCCTCTCATTCCCAAGTCCGGCGCAACCGCCAACCCAAAAACACACGCACAAGATGTCCAGACATTAAGCGAGCTAAAGGTGGAGAAGTCTGCCGCCGAGACCAAGGAGGAGAAGAAGGTTTTGGCAAAGAAGGAGGAAGAGAAGAAGAAACTGACCGTCTGGCAAAAGGTCAAGAAGGAGTTGGTGCACTACTGGGATGGCACCAAGTTGCTTGGCTTTGAGGTCCGAATCAGCTCCAAACTCGCACTGAAGATGGCCGCTGGTTACGAGCTTACCCGCCGTGAGCGTCGACAGGTACGTATGTGGAGGCGATACCCTCCGAATGCTGCTAACAAAACTAGCTGCAACGCACCGTACAGGACCTTGCCCGCTTGGTACCTTTCCTGCCCTTCGTCATCGTCCCCTTCGCGGAGCTGCTGCTCCCAGTAGCCCTCAAGCTCTTCCCCAACATGTTGCCCAGTACATATGAGGGCCAGTCAGCCAAGGACACCAAAGCCCAGACACTCCGAGCAACTCGCAAGGACGTCAGCGAGTTCCTTCGCACAACACTGAAGGAGACTGGTCTCCCTGTCTCTGCCGAGAACGCACAGACAGCAGAGTTCAGCGAGTTCTTCCGTAAAGTGCGCACCACAGGCGAGAAGCCAACACCAGACGAGATTATCAAAGTATGCAAGATCTTCAAGGATGACCTCACCCTCGACAACTTGTCTCGCCCACAGCTTGTTTCCATCTGTCGCTACATGAACATCACCTCTTTCGGCACAGACAACTTCCTGCGCTACCAGGTTCGCGTTCGCATGCGCCAGATCAAGCGTGACGATCGATCCATTGCTTACGAAGGCGTCGAGTCCCTCTCGGTCCCCGAGCTCCAGACTGCCTGTGCAAGCCGTGGTCTACGAACCTACGGTGTCTCTCCCGGCCGCTTACGGGACGACCTTACCAGCTGGCTTGATCTCCGTCTCAAGCACGGCGTCCCATCCACCCTCCTCGTCCTCTCCAACGCCTTCGTCTACGCCCAGGGCAAGGAAACAGAAATGACCTCCCAAATCGACGCCTTGGAAGCCGTCCTCTCCTCCATTCCCGAGGAACTCTACCACGAAGTGGATCTCGAAGTGCGCAACGCCGAAGGTGCCGCTACCAACAAGCAGCGTCTTGAAGTCCTCAAGGAGCAGCAAGAACTCATCAACGAGGAGAATGAACAAACCGAGACTGTGGAGAACAAGGCTACGGCTAGCCCCAAGGACCACGAGGACATTGACGAGAAGCCGATTAGGGACGCGCAAGAAGCCCAGGATGCCAAAGAGGCCAAGGCTGTCGAGGAGAGCAAAGAAGCCGAGGCTAGTGCTGGTGATGCTGCTGGTGGATCGGCTGAGCGCGCTGAACAAGATGAGCGTGCTTTGAAGATGGATGATCCTACTGGCAAGGATGAGAAGCCCGTTGAGGCTGCTGCTACGAAGAAGGAGTAAAAGAGAAATTCGTTTCTCATTTTTTTTTACTTCAATAACAACAACAATTTTCTCTACTACATGTGTATAGCTACGAAATCTCCCGTTATTTGGCGTCTTGAAAAGACGATGTGCACACATACACACACATGTATATATAATGTGTATATAGAAACTACGCCCGTTCCTCGCTTGTCTGTTGGGATAGGGGACGGGTCTATAGAATTGTATAGATTAAACGAGAGATATTCTCGTGAGAATTAGAGGTTGTTGAGATGAAAATGGTTACAGCGTGATTGTTTTGTTACTAGCTTGCTACTACTCCTCCCCGGTATGTATGCAATGCTTTGCTTAATGATTTATCTCCTCTCTCTCTAGCTTCCAGACGAACGCGGAAATCTAGAATGCTGACGTCATGCTTCCCGTCCCTTCCCCATCTTGCACATCCCCCGCCATCAACACAACGCCTATTCGTTTACTTCAATCAAGCTTTCTGGCCAAGTGACTACATCAACTTGGCAGTGGGACGTTATTGTTTATTTTCCTCTTTACACTCGGTTCTACGTAGTTGACCTTCTTTCTTTCTACGCCTCCTCCTTTGTTTGCCTGGACTTTGGTCGAATCGATACAAACGCACGCACGCACGCACGCACACCAGCCATGCCGGACCCAGCACAAATCAACCGTTCGCTAGGGACCATCAAGACGGAACTCGAGTACCTTGCCAACTCTGGTGTTTTGTCGCCGCCACAGTTACAATCTATCCAGGCGCAGTTACCCGTGCGTTGTTCCCGTGTTGTAATAATAAGATGAGTTGTGTGGACGTAAACGCTGGCTGACAGTTAAGTGGTGGTGTTTTAGCAACCAAATGGACAGCCGTCTCAGTATATTGATCCGAAATATGTGAATGGGGGGAATCAGTTTAATCCCGCCATGATTGCGCAGCAAGCGCAGGATCCGGCGCATCCGGCGAATCCGAATCATCCAAAGGTACGTTGTGTGCTTGTATATACAATTTCTTTCTTCTTGAATTGCTGTTTGTGCTACCCATGTCACCCTTGTTTTTTCACATTCTCTTCTCGTCCATATCATATAATGTAGAGCGGAAAGGTTGCAGACGAGAAGAACATGAAGTGGAAAAATGCTAATGTGATATTCAGCACCACGAATGGGCTTCGAAACTAGCGCATAAATTTGGTAACGCGGCAGTCTACGGCGCTGGAGCGACGTTCGGCGCGGACTTGGTTAATGATGCTATGAGGAAGTTCTAAACAATTGCATATGCAATGTGCAAGTGATTCAGAGGACAGCATGCCACTGGCAGGCGAGGTGCTAGTCAGAATTGTTTACTATACTTCTTCCTGTCTCACAAAGGTTTGGTAGTCGCCTCAAGATCGTCCAGTGTAGCGGGCTTATTCTCTGTGGGTGGATGTCCTTCAGCATCCAAAGCCTTCGAAATCTCAATCAGGTGCATGTGCATTGCCCGATGGACCTCAGCAAACCCTTTGTCATTCTCCGAAGCAAATTTGCCAACTGTGTAGCGGTTGGCATCCAGACCTATCGTTGTTTCGTTGGCGTAGTTTCCTCTGGTCTGATTCTCATCCATAGCCTTGGAGGTTGGTCAGCTCGACACAGTGTACGACCAAATACTATATCGGATATTGACTTACAAGCACGTCGTTGTATATCTCGCGTTCGTAGAATGAGGTGACCTGAAGCTTTCTGCTTAAATTAGACAAGAATATTGACGCATCGGATGCCAGATTATGAATATTTCTTGACGCCTCGCGAGCCTCATTCTGCTTTGCTCCAGCCGCGTCAAAAGTTCTTTGTAAGGCCAAGAGACGCTCGATGACTTCGTGTTCTCGCCCAGTGTATGGCATCCTGAAGAAGATGATGCTTTTCGTTGCATCAAAGATGCCACTAGAAGCATTCCAGCTTGCTTGAAACAAAGCCTAGGGTAGCAAAGTTCATTGTCAATGGGTGTACATGGACTGAAAAGATCCAAGGACTTACCATCTTGATGGTGATGCCACCCCATGAATGGCCGATGAACATAATCGGCTTTCCCCTGGGTGTGTTCGTTTCGTCCCTTGTCCTCATGATACAGCTCAGCAATGACTCTGCAGACTTATCCAACCAAAAGTCGGTCTCACTTCTTGATCTTGGATAATCAGGACGAAGGTAGCTGAAGGTCATGACGCGAGCATTTCGAAAGCCTTGAGATCCAGGCAGGAAATCTCTAAGCCACAACTTCCCACTTTTCTCGTCCGTCCATGTCCTATATCCATCGCCTCCTGGCCCATGTACGGCTATTATACTAGTTCTGATTAGACTCTAAGAAAAAGGGAATCTGGAGGCTTCTTACTCAATAGCTAGATCAGAAGACGCTGTTGTCGGTTCGAATAAGATATGCAAGCCACTTGTTCCTTGTGGGACAGCAACCCTTTCAAACTTAGCCTCAACCTGCGGGTTTGATGATGGGACTAGACCCTGCGTGATTGCAACTTCCTGTGACGTTTCGGCGGGGTCATCCTGGGGGGATGGCATTGAATCCGATGATGACCTAAGGAAAGCTGGTGCTTGCTGATCGCTCGGCTTGCTGCTTCTCTTCCATGCTTCCATCGCTTGCAATGTGTTTGATGGAGCAATAGGTATGAATTGAATCTTATGCGACGGTTGAAACACCATTTCTGCGTACGTACTCAGCGGTATAAGCTGCATCGCGAGACACTCCAAGGCAGTGTCTAGGCGTTTGAAGTATCTTTCTTTCGTTTCCCTACTGCACAGGAGTCAAATTTGGATAATCAGTGTCGAGAGTGATGGTACCTGGCCCCTTCGTCATCTCCATGGATGTAAAGTCGCTCGATAAAGGCCAGCAGTCTTGCAATGTCGCTGATATGTTGGCCGATAGTTTCAAAGAGTCCGACGTTTTCTTCCTTCAGCGACGTAAATATCAATTGAACCAGCTTCTCGTTGTCTGCTTCAGAAAAACACTCGTGATCAGGAGTTGCGCACCTTCGGATACTGTTCTTCCATTGCTTTAGACCCAAGGCAGCCTCTTGCAGACGGAATATCACCTCTTTTTCTTGAGCACCCCAGCCGTCTGGGAGGGTGAATGCTCGCTCAAAGTTTCGAATCACGTTGTTACAATGTTGATACAGATCCTGGCCAGAGGGTCCTTTTGAGGCTTCACTTTTATCGATTTTGTGCTGTAGATTCCGCCGTGGCCATCTGAAGATTTTCGCAAATGCCATTGTTTTCACAACGGCGATAGCGTTGGAACAAACGAAGGTGATCAAGGCTAGGTTGCCGGCTGATGGAAAACCCAGATTTGCGCAACAACCGATGAATGATCACGAGGCTTAGTTCGGTTTAGCCATGACGCATGTACTCTGTTGTGGACGTAAAGATAAGTGTGTCTTAACGTGATTGGTAGAGTTATATATCCACCATGCAGCCTTTTGCAGTGTGGCGTTTCCGGTGAAGGCTGCGTTCTCGGAACAGCTTACAACGAGGGCAGTAGCTATCGCATGCTCGTCGAACTTTTTACACTTCACACAGCTACACAATTCGACTCTATCGATTTCTATCCCTCCAAAGGAAGCCAACCCTCTATGGATGCTTTGGCAATCCTGGGCGCCTGTTTGGCATGTCTGGGCATGCTCTCCAGTGGCATAAGCAACCTTGCCAATACCGCGGACGCGTATTGGAACTACGAGGAGCAGAGCCTGGATTATGCTCGTAGGTATGCGCGATGTCAAGCAAATCTGCAGGAATGGAAGATGAGGTGGTCGGAGCATCCCCCGATCAACCAAGTTACTCGTGTGGCTACAGTCGTACCCGCGCTTGAGGATATCAGAGCTCTAACAAGCGAAATCCGCCGCCAAGTGGAAGAAGCCGAAAATGAAGCTCCGGAAGGACAGAATGTCCCCGTCATAAATAGCAACCGCTGGACGGGGAGATTTCGGGGTGTAATAGGACCACTGCAAGAAAAATGGGTCAAGCGGCGCAGGGGTAGAAGCAGCACCATCACCAGACGTGCAATGCATTCTCTCTTCAAAAAAGGTCTTATGGAGGGTTGGCTCACAAGACTTGAGATAGCCATTGAGGATATAGAGAAGAGTTCGGAAATGACATTGCGAGCACGTACAGGCGCGAACTGGGCTGAAGGCTCAGCCTATGCACGGAACAGAGAAGCAACAAAAGCCGAACAATTCATGTCGATGCTTACGGAGTCAGTCGAAAGCCTACGTCAAGAATGTATCGCAGGGCCTTGCACCGGGGATTGGGTATTAGGGCTTCGTCCTCCGGAGCATCTTAGAAGCGTCGCTGTATGGGAGTTCTTGGTGGATATCAATCTCGAATTACGGTTCCGTCATGAGACAACACCGGGTCGAGATATATGGGAACTCAAGACATGCTACATGATGGACAACGAGGAAACTCATGACTTTCGTGGCAAAATCAGGCCAATGCTCCCGACGACAAACCGAGCAAACGTCCCTGGAAATGTTAATGTCACAAATACCATTTGCACTAGACAGGATACATCAATCGAAAGAGCAGGTTCGATCGGCAATTTACTAATCGAGAAGCCCCATTACTTTACTACTGAGAGTTGGCGACTGGGTGTCACCGACCATGTCCGTGGTATAGTCAACTGGGCTCTTCTCTTATGGGAAACGAAATGGTTCGAGAGTTTGTGTTGCTTTGGTCTGCACATGGAGAGCGGCCAGGGAACAGACCATTGCATGATGCTTGTAGGGGGGTGTACACCAGGACAAACCCACGAACACGTCGCGCAGCGGCTGCAGAATCTAGGCATCACTATCGCCCAAATCATCCTCGCAAGGCCATTGCGATTAACCAATCATGAAACTGGCACGAAATTTGAACAGCGAGACGAGGCCGGAACTTGGAAAGAGGTTCAACCGAAACGATTGGCAAGTGATATTTTATCAGAATCCAAGTCGATTGTTCTGGCAAGAGCCATCGAGTTTTGTTTGACCGACTCACGTTTCGAGACGAATGGATTCCAAAGAGGGTATCTGATGGAGTACATCAAACATATATATGATCCGTGAGTAATAGCCGCACTTACTATCACCGTCCTCTTACTAACGCTCGGCAGAGTGATAGCATGGCACCAGTTCGTGAGGCAGGTACGAGAGGAATATAGAGGGCAACAGGGGAGAGAAGTTGTGCATCCACCGCCCCAGTTTGACATCGACCGGACCGAGACAAACACAAGACGACGTTTAACAACGTAAACAGAAGGACGTAGAAGTCTTAGGGTGGGAAGAATAGGCAACATCATGATAATCGCGAAAAAGGCACACAGAGTTCAATATCTTCAACTTCAATTCTCCCATCCTACCCTTTTACCAGGTAAGACACTACTTCACTAAGCTAGCATGGTATAATGCGAAAAGACCCAGGACAACCAAAAAGGAAACCCAGTGCTCGCCTTATTCACAAAAACGACCATGTAATCCCAAAACCCATTTTTTGTGGAAAGAGAGAAAACAGAGTCCTCCATCCATCCATCCATCCTCCAGACCGAGTACACCAGTACCGGTATTAGACTTTACGTACAAGAGAGAGAAAGGAAAAAGTGTCCGTAGACACAAACTCAAACGAACAGGTGGTATAAGGAAACACAACAAAAAAAAAGGACAAGGACAAAGGAAATGAAGGGCTCTAGAACCCCAACGCAGCAACCAAACAATGGAGGAAAGGAAAAGAAAAGACAGAAAGGAAAGGGAAGAACAAAAAAAGAGCAGCTAGCTAGCTAGTATGTCGACATGTCCAAGATGTCCAAAAAAAGGTATGAGCAAGAAAGAGCTTGCTGGGGGCCAAGCCATGCGCCAGGCAGGTGTCGTAAATATGGGGGTATTCGAAGGGCAAAAAATGTTTTGCGCGAACCAAAAGGCGAAAGGGGGAGTAATATACCCCAGCAGTAACAGTAACTGTTCGCTGCTGCCAACCCAGACGCCGTCGCCAAAGTAGAGAGAAAACAAAGGTCGTGAACACATATACAAGGCTCTCTCTCAAGCCCCATCCAACTAAACCGCACTCTTCTTCCTCCCAAACATAGTCCTCGTGCGACTCTTATCCCTCGCCTTCTTCTCCACACTAGAATGATCTTGCTTGTTGGCCGATCGTCCCGGCCTCTCATCCGAACCATCATCCATGTATTTCTCCTTGTAGATCCAACTGTTGCCCACCATGCTCACACCTTTTGCCTCGGCAGAACGGTAAAACTTGGCCGCCTTCTTCATATTCTTCTTGCAGCCAACACCCTCAGCGTAGCAGTATCCAGCTTCAACAAGCGCATCGGCGTCGCCCCAGTTACCCGCAATTTCGTAGCAGCGGAGAGCGAGCGACTTGTCTTGCGGGGCGCCCCAGCCATTGCCGTAGCACTTGCCTAGTTCGTAAATGGCCACGGCGTACTGAGCACGATGTTGCTTCTTCTTGGTAAGATCGGTAGCACCGGCTTGGGCTTCATCGTCTGCGACTTCGAGCTGTCCGCTATCGACAGCGCGGCGGAGCCATTGTAAAGCTTCGGATTGGTTTACGCGCATGCCCCAGCCGTGGCGGCAGGCGAGACCGTACCAGAACATTGCTTCGGGAAGACCGGCGCGAGCTGCGAGACGGAGGTGGTAAGTTGACTTGAGCAGTTCGCCAGCTTCGTGGAGTTCAAGACCCATGTCGCAGTGTTGCTGGGCCGTGACTTCGCCAACTGAGCCAGCAGTTCGCGCACGGATGGTGCTGTTGCTGGAGGTAAGGGACGGGGCTCCGTGTTGCTGCTGCTGCTGTTGGCGTGCTTGGTCAAAGGACCTTGGTGGAGATTCGGGTGAAGGGGGACGCGCCTGAGTCTGGTTAGGGTTTTGCTGGCCTGGTTGATCCCATGTAATCTGGCTTTTGAAAAAGTCCTCGATGCCAACAGACTTGCGGTCGACGGCTCGGCCGCGAGGCAGGTTGAACCTAGTGTATGTGTAGGAGGGGGCTGGGTTGCTGGAAAAGTCGCCTGACCGACGGAAGTCCTCGCTTACCATGCTGACGGGTGTGTGCACTTGCTCATTCGCGTAGTGTGCGGTGGGGCTGTCACTGGAGTCCTGTCGTAGGAGCTGATTGTCAAATGAGGGTCGCATGTTTACGCTCTCGTCTGACGCTTGTCGTGAGGGCCCGACGTCAGACCGTACGTCTAGTGACGGACGGACGCTCTGTCGGCTGGTGGGTCGTGAGAAGTTGGGTCTCGAGAAGTTGTAGGCGGGGCGCGGCAGGCTGGAGCCGTTGACCGAGTAGTCAGATGCAGCTGACGGCGAGCGTGGTATCATTGTGGGGCCTGTAGCAGGCGTGAAGGGGGACTGGGCCCTAGACAGGCTAGAGCTGGGAGACAAGTTGCGGTTCTGGTGCAGAGAGTCATAGGATCCGCTGAGGGACATGTCGTCGACTTCATCGTATCCGACGGCAACAGAACGGATGCTTGGCGACTGTCGCGGAGAGCGGGTTGAGTGGAGGGAACTAGACGAGCGCGGGGGAAGCAGGTTAGAGCGTGGTTGCGACCGCGGCTGCGACTGTTGCGAGTGCTCGGAGCCACCAGACGGCTTCCTCTGCGGGCTGAGGAACATGTGCGAGGGCGCGGCAACGGGGACGTGGGGGCTGACGGGTGTGGCCTCGCGCAGGCCAATGTGCGGCTCTACGGAATCGGGCGAGTGCGATCTGGGGATGTCGAAGTAGCCCTGTGGCGGAGTGGCAGGACTGGCCTCGGCAATGGTGGCCATGGGACTCTGCAGAGGCCCAATGGCATACTGCATCTCGGGCTCGTCCATGCCGAACTGAGGGTAGTAGGACTGGTGTCGTTTGTCCGAAGACACCTCCTGCCTGGGGGAGGCATCGGGTCGTGGGGACTTGACGGGGCCTGCGTCTTCGTTGGGCGAGTTGACGGTCGAGTTGGACATGCTCGAGAAGTATCCGGGGCGGTTGCCAAACTCATTCTGGATGGTGAGAGGTGCAATCCGGCTCATGCGGCGTCCATTCTTGTCCTGCTGCTCGAATCGCTTTGCGAGCAGGCGGCCCTGGAGGGCGAGGGCGTCCAGAGGAGAGAGGGCGGGCGGTGCTTCGCCGGTGCGCGGGCTGGGCAGGTCTGAGCCGAGGGTCAGATTGCTCATGCTGGCGCTGGCGAGGTTTCCGAGGCCGAGGTGGTTGTTGTTGTGGTTGATGTTGTTGAATGTCTTGTTAGCGGAGGAAG